CACACACACACCCACTCCTTGCTGCTGGTTGGAATGCCTGAGATGGAACACGTGTACGAAGGCAGGTGTCGTTGCGTTTTGCTTATCCAGAGTTTGAGATTGTTTTAGCTGACAGGGTTATCCTAATTTTTTGATCCATGCCCTGCGTAGTTGGTCGTTTGCAGTTCGCAGTTGTAGTTCGTAGTTGTAGTTCGTAGTTGTAGTTCGTAGTTGTCCTGTTCAGAGTAAGCATACAGGCATCTGCATAAACTGAACTCTACACTCTGCATTGGCTCATCAGATGAACCTGGCTAGCGAATCCCCACCCCATGACTCGGGAGTCGGGACAGTCTAGGGCTGAACGTGACGGCGGCCAGGGGTATGTGGCTCGCTGGACCCATCCGCTGCAAGCACAGTACTACGAACAGCTGACTACGCTGCGGGCGCAAACTAGCTTCCAAATGCGCTGCGGCAATATTAGAGAAGCAGGCAAGCAGGCAGCGATTGCAGCCACCTGCGGACACAATTGTCTGGTGCATCAGCCCTTAGCACACCAGGATGCATTGCATAGCATGGCCGGTACACTGCATAGTCCCCAAAGTGGTAGGACTAGAGCCTGACCTAGCGGCTGGGGCGCATTGTTGCAGTGATCAAAACCGGCAACTGGTCAAGCACTGCAGCCCTCGGTATGCAACCTCCACCAAGACCGAGACATTCAGGCTGATTGATATCAATCCATGCCAGGGACCCACCGTAGATCCGTCCACCCCAAAACCCAATCATCCATGATCGGACACCTGCCGAAACACGATAGCCCAAAAGTAATCGGACCCCAAGATCAAACCACCTCCCAATTCCAAATACTCGGGCGCGAGAATGACAGCGGGCGAAGGGGAGGGAACGGTTAGCGTGAAACCTTGACTCTTATCGCGGGGGCACAACAGCGACACACTGGCGACCCATTGGCTGTGGGCGAGCTTCCCATCAAGCGTGACAAATCAGGGCAATCAGCGCAGTGAGACCCCAATTCGTATCATTCGTATTTGGAATATTGATTCTCCATCGTAATGCATGGTCATTCCGGTTGGAAAGTAAAAGTTGCCAAGTGACGCAAGTGAACCCCCTCCAAAGTCGTCTGCTGGAACCCCGCCATGTCGTCAATGAGTTGATCTGCCGAGAAACAACAAAGCCCCAACCCAACACGAGAGATGCTCCCTATAAGTAGTCCACCACGACCTCGCTGTCGTCTCAAAGGTCCTCATTGAGAACCTTGCTCGCCAACTAAATCACTTAATCCAATCACATCCATCCTCCAAAAATGCCTTTGACCGGTCACTGTCTGTGCAAGGCCGTCACCTACACCATCGAGGTGGAGGAGCCCGCCCTGGTCGGGTACGACCACTGCGACGATTGCCAGCGGCAAAGCGGCTCCACCTACTGTACGTCTCTATTTCTCCAAAAAAAAAAAAAAAAAAAAAAAAAATCAATCGAAGGGCATGCTAATTTCGACTCTTTGGATTGACAGCGCTGGTCGCCGTGGTGCCCAAGGACAAGCTCACGATCAACGGGCCGACCAAGAGCTGGGCGGGGCTGGGGTCGTCCGGGAAAGCCGTGCACCGCATCTTCTGCTCCGAGTGCGGCTCGCCCATCGCCCATGACCCGGATGCCGCCCCGGAGATCATCGCCATCAAGGCGGGCACGCTGGACACGGAGATCAAGAAGAAGCTCAAGCCGGTATGTCACGTTCACCGATAGTCACTGTCGACACAGAATCAGGAAGTTAGTTAGGTGGAATGGTCTGACGTAAGCAGGACACCGAGATCTGGACCGTCAGCAAGCTGCCTTTCTGCCAGGAGCACTTGGCCAAGCCGTTCAAGCACATGCCGGAGTAATGGATCGATGCGGGGTGTCTGATGATGATGATGATGATGATGATGGTGATGGGAAAAGTGAATAGCCTTGTTTCACCTAATTTGATGAATGGATATGTCACCAGAATGTGACCGATAGCCTTGTACTGTATTGTAGCTGTGCAACGATAAGTTAGCTACTACGTACTTCTAGTATGGAACATTAGCCCATACTCTCACTCAAACATGCTGACATGTGCATCAATGGTCACTATGCAAGATGGGCACATCTTCTGCTCTAATCAAGCATGCTGACATCGCGTCGCGAGAATTACCCCAAACGCCATAGATCCCATGTCCGTGCACTCAAAACATCAGGTGTCCCCATCCATCCCGCACCACTACCAAGCTCATGCGGTAGCTCTATATCCCCAGTGAATAAACTCCTCACCACCACCAACAACAACTCTACCCTCAATCTCCCGAACCCAATCACCAATCAAGCCCCAAATCTTCCAGAACTTCGCAGAATTACCATGAGGAAGGTCACGCCATCATGCGACCGCAGCCACCCCGCATCAGCACGGCTGACCAATCCGTCTGATTTATCAGCCATCAGCCAAGCCAATTCAATCTAATCTGATCAGCTATATAACCCTAACAACACCATAACCAACTTACTGGAATTATCATCCTCATCCCTCAGACTCCCCCCTCCACCCCCCCAAGCAAAATGGTCCAATACCTCCTCACCGGTGTAACCGGCGGCCTGGGCGCCCACGTGCTCGAGTACTTCCTCGCGCACGTCGACCCGTCGACCTACGCCGTCGCCTCGTCCAATCCAGCCAAAGCGGCCGAATTCACAGCCCAGGGCCTCGCCTTCCGGACGGTCAACTACGACGACCCGCGCACGCTGGCCACGGCCTTCGAGGAGGTGGAGAATCTGTTCTTCGTCAGCTCGAACACCTTCGACAACGAGCGGCGCCGGAGACAGCACCAGGATGTGGTGGATGCCGCGAAGCGGGCGGGGGTGAAGCATGTACGCGAGCCCTCCCTCCACACTTGTCCTTTTTGGGGGGGCCATATACATCTTCCCTTACCCCAACCCCCAACCCTCCCAGAAGAGATACTAATAGGAATAGATCTGGTACACCTCCCTCGCCTTCGGCGGCCACACCTCAACCTCGCAGGTCGCCGTGCAGCAAGCGCATTACATGACCGAGGAGATGCTCCGCGTGTACGCCACACCCCTGACCCTGACCCTCCCTTCTTCCTTCCCATTCCCCCCGTTACCCTTCACCACCCACCCACCTACCACCCCATACAATCCTAATGTACTGTATCCCCCCGGGCCCTAGATCCGGAATCCCCTACACCTCCATCCGCGAAGGTTTATACACGGAAGCCTTCCCCCTCTACTTCAACTGGTATCCCACCACGGAGACCATCGTCCTGCCGCAGCCCACCACACCATCCAGCACAGACCCAGCAAAGCTGGCCACCACCCAACGAATCACCTTCACCTCGCGCCAGGAACTCGGGCACGCCACCGCGCGCCTCCTCCTGCGGGGCGGGGCCAGCTATCGCGACCGGATCGTCGTGCTCAGCGCGCGGGAGACGCTGTCGTTCCGGGAGATGGTGGATCTGATCAATGAACACCACCATGACGGGAAGGAAAGGGTGAGGGTGGAGTTTGTTCCGGCCGCCGAATATGTGGCCCGGACTGCGGCGGCGGATGAGGGCGGCAAGGCGGCGGGGTTCTTTGCGGCGATGGTCTCGTGGCATGAGGGGATCGCCAGGGGGGAGGCGGTGGTCGAGGGGGATGGGTTGATGGCCGAGGTGCTGGGTCGGGAGCCGACGCGGGCGTCGGAGAGGATTCGGGAGTTGTTGCGCGAGGCCAGGGCAAAGGGGGGGTATACGTGGCATCAGAATTATGCTTAGTCCTTCCTGGTTTGCTCTTGGGGAGTGGGGTGAGTAGGCAATATGTTGTGTCGATTGGCTGTGCATCAGGAGGTACTGTACTGTTGCTGTACTGTATATGCAGATTAAAAAGCCACTGATCTCGAAGACCTAAATAAATGACCCAGACTTTTGACGTTTCCCAACCCAGATCCCAACCCAGCTCCAAACCCATGCAACCCATGCAATCCTTATAGTTACAAACATACAAACGTACATACATACAACCCCCCAAATCAAGCCCTAGACCCCTCCCCCAACACCTCCTCCTCCCCCCACTGCCCACTCTCCGTCCTCCCCCTCCTCATCCTCTCCTTCCGGACATCATGCTGCGGAAACCCCGTATGCCGCGTCTCATTCATCGTGACCACCCTCTCCCCGCCATGCCCAGCCCCCTCAACATCCTCCTGCTCCTCCTTCTCAAACTCCACCTCCTCATCCGCCCCAAACGTCGACTCGCGCATAAACGGACTCCGCCGGCGGATCTCGGGCCCCTTGAGGATCAACACCACCGGCACGACCGACAACGCCAGCCCGATGAACCCCAACAGAGACCCGGCCCAGCCAAACCCCAGGGTATCGAACAACTCATAACTGGCCAACGGCAGAAACGCCCCGAAGGTGTTCCGCCCCAAACTAGCCGCACTCAGCGCCGACGCCGCATACTTTTCGTAGGCATCCGTCAGATAGTTCACCACCGCCATATAAATCGAGTAAATCCCCAGGCCCGCCGCCGCGATACCGCACGTGGGCACGATCCAATGCACGAAGGGGAAACTCGCCCACCCGTACCAGAACAGCCCGCCGGCGAACAGCAGGCTCCCGATCACGCTGGTGTACAGCCGGGCTTCGGGGATGGGGCGGCCGGGGATCTCCTTGTTGCGCTTCGCCGACCGGAGGTACAGCATATCCTGGAGCGGGTTGATGGCCGTGCCGATCACGGCGCCCACCGAGATGGCCAGCTGGATCAGGCCCGTGGCCAGCGTGCCCCAGCCGTAGTTGGTCGAGTAGGTCTGCACCACCGAGCTGAAGAACAGGTACAGAATGCCCCAGGCGAAGCTGATCCACAACGTGAAGAAGATGACGACCGGCTCGGTGAGCAGCATGCGCGTGGGCCGCTCGAAGGAGATCTGCAGCAGCCGCCACACGCTCGTGTTGTCCAGTTCCGCTTCCGCGTAGATCGGCCGCCCCGTCTCCTTGCGGAGCTTCTTGGCCCGCCGTTTGAGGATCACGTCGGCGCGGGTCTCGTGGAGGATGAACCAGAAGATCGGGAGGAGGCCCGTGAGGTAGATGATTTGGATGTAGAAGATCCTGTTCCGTCCCGAAATCAGGGTTCGTTCACCAGATCAATGGAGGTGGAGGAGAAGAGAGGGGAGCTCACCATCGCCAAGGATCATCCTTGTGGATCTGCACAATCGCCGACCCGATAAACGGCCCCAGCGCAATGCCGATGACGCTGGTCAGCCCGAACAGCGACATGGGCAGACTGCGCGCCCGGTCCCCGTACCACACGTCGCTGATGCTGCCGCCCACGATGTTGATCGAGACCGAGGAGGCCCCGCCCCCGAAGAACCGCGTCACCACCAGCGTCGCGAAGTTCTGCGCGAACGCCGACGGGAACAGCGAGATGATCAGGATGATGTACGCCACGAAGTAGCCGGGCATCCGCCCGGACGACTCGGTCAGCGGCACGAAGATCAGCGGCCAGAACGCGGCGCCCATGTTCCACGAGCACGTCGCCCAGTACAGGTTCGGGAAGGGGGTGTTCTGCACGTGGAAGCGCGTCTCCATGTAGTCGTTGCCGGAGCCGTAGGAACCGGCGGGGATACCGGTGAGGATGGAGCTAGGAGGAGATCGCGTTAGGGTGGATCTGAGTGGATGAGATATAAGCCAGGGGTTCTTACATGAAGCACACCGTGACAGTTAAGACCCATTTATACGCTGGACTCCAGTTGAACCTATCCACGCCTGTCAGTCCTGCTTTCTCCCTCCGTCTATCTCCCGCACTTCTATCAAAGGCTGAACATACGGATTATCCGGATCATCCTTGCCATTCCAGGTGTGAAGCTCCAAATCCTCCTTGTCGCGCAACTCATTGCGACTGACCACCCCGACATGGCGATCGCGGTGGAAGAACGATCGCACCCTGTGCATTGGATTAGCATCACTAACCCAAAAATACCAGACACAACGCAGAGAGCAAACCACTCACCGCCCGAAAAACGAGTCATCAAAATCGTTGGTATGCGCCGTACTGGCCCGCCGCATGGACGGGCGTCTGTCCTCAGGAACAGCACTAGCACTCATGGTGAGGCAGCAGCAGCAGCAGCAGCAGCAACCACAGTAACAGCTAGAACGGATTTCTGCACACCGTAGAATTTTCTTCCTTTGTCCCTACACATTTTGTTATATACTTTCCACCCTTCCCACATATCGGACCCTGGTTCGGCAGCCCGGTGAAGGTCGGATGTCAAGGGATCGTTGTCGTCATGCAGCTGCATCCGGGCCGAGTGGAGAAAGCCGACCAGTACCGATAGGCAATTAATTGTGCGCATTGATTATGAAATCCAACGAAAAGTGGAAGCCAGTGACAAATTTTTTAAAAAAAAGTGAAAAAGGTCTCGACTGTGAGTTTTTGGTTGGGTTTTGGTGGAAGTGGAAGGAAGTGGAGTTGATCCAGAAGTGCAAAACAGCCGGTTTGAGGGTTTGAGGGTTTTCAGGGTTTGTTATGGACGATGACATCATGGGAGGGGAATCCATGAATGGATGACTTCATCCCCCGCTTTTCCCGCCAAGTTTGGCCCTAATCGGCCTTCAAGGTTTCTGTTTCGCTCTCTCGCTCTAGACACACTCGGTGACATCGTATATGCACTATGCAAGTAGTAAGCAGGTAAAGTACCATACGATTCACGACTCACGAGGGAGGAGAGCTACGTACAGTACACGTACCTCTTGGATCCATGCCCCTCCATGCCCCTCCAACCCCTCATCCCCTCCTCATCCCCTCCTCTCTCGTATTTATATCCCCTCCTTTTCCCCTGTTGCTCTTTTCCCAGAATCATTCAAATCCAACTCTTCCAAACTCAATTCCATTCATCCATCCATCCAAAACTCTCTCTCTCTCTTACCTTCGACCTCCTTACATAAATCAAACCCCCTCCACCACCACCAAAATGCCCATCCCCGTCCCCAGCGCCAACAGCCTCCAAGACCTCTTCAGCCTCAAGGGCAAGGTCGTGATCATCACCGGTGCCTCCGGCCCGCGCGGCATGGGCATCGAGGCCGCGCGCGGCTGCGCCGAGATGGGCGCCGACGTCGCCATCACCTACGCCTCGCGCCCGGAGGGCGGCGAGAAGAACGCCGCCGAGCTGTCCAAGACCTACGGCGTCAAGGCCAAGGCCTACAAGTGCGACGTGGGCAACTACGACAGCGTGCAGAAGCTGGTCGATGATGTGATCCAGGACTTCGGCAAGGTCGACGCCTTCATCGCCAACGCCGGCCGCACCGCCAACAGCGGCATCCTCGACGGCTCCGTCCAGGACTGGGAGGAGGTCATCCAGACCGACCTCAACGGCACCTTCCACTGCGCCAAGGCGATCGGCCCCCACTTCAAGAAGCAGGGCAAGGGCAGCTTCGTGATTACGTCGAGCATGTCCGGCCACATCGCCAACTTCCCCCAGGAGCAGACCTCCTACAACGTTGCCAAGGCCGGCTGCATCCACATGGCCAAGTCGCTGGCCAACGAGTGGCGTGACTTTGCCCGCGTCAACAGCATCTCCCCCGGTTACATCGACACCGGTCTCTCCGATTTCGTCGACAAGAAGGTCCAGGACCTGTGGATGTCCATGATCCCCATGGGCCGCAACGGTGATGCCAAGGAGTTGAAGGGTGCCTATGTCTACCTCGTCAGCGATGCGAGCTCGTACACGACTGGTGCCGATTTGTTGATTGACGGAGGTTACTGCGTGCGGTAAATGTATCCCTGGTGGATATAAATAGAGATACCTACCTAGCTTTTTTGATGAGGTTATAATGATAATGTCAGGAACGTTTCATGATGATTCGATTTTGCTTGCCAGTAGAAGTAGAGATCGAACTTCGGGGGGAAGAATGTACTCCACAGAGCCTAGCTAATCACTGGGGGCCAGTGCACAGAGGGATGAGATAGATTCTAGGCATCTCAGTGGTGCATTCGGCTGCAGGGTTCTGTTTCCGGTGTCTTCCGTCCGTGCTCCACTTTCTCTTTGGTGGGACAATGATCGTTGAAGTTATCGTATACGCTGCGAGTTCGTATCGAAGAACGCCTCTTTTCGGGTTCTTCGGTATATTGAACCAATTATGCATGGCCAAGTCACTGTCGTCGAGCTATACGTAGATACATCACGAACTGTTCGCGTAGACATGTACGACAAGACCCTCCACTTGAAAGGCCTCGTTACATCTTCCCTTTACCATTACCATTCTCCCCCCCGGATTCCGTCTCAGTTTCATCGACCACGTCCGCCACGTGCAGCACACGCGGCAAAGTGCGCGCCAGGCGCGGCGGGTCCAACACGCTCTTGGACTGCATGAAGATCTCGTCGATCTCTTCCAGCGACCGGCCGTTGGTCTCCGGGAAGAAGAAATACACCGTCGGCACGATCGCCGCATTCAGCACCGCGAAGATGATGTAGTACCGCCACGAGATGGTGTCGAAGCCCACCGGCGTCACCTCCGCTAATAAGAAATTGAATGTCCACACGGCTGCCGTCGACACCGCACTGATAGCGGCCCGCAGCTGCAGCGGCGCCACCTCGGTCGCGTACAAGAACGTGAGGCCGGAGTAGCCTACAGTGAAGATGAACTCGAAGACGAACAGAAATATCACGGCCACGACCAGCGCCGCTGTGTTGTTTGGCAGCGAAGTCGTGCCTGCCAGGATCGCCATCGACACCGACATCCCCGCTGCGCTCCACAGCATCAGCACGCGGCGGCCCAGCCTGTCGATCGTGAAGAAGGCCAAAAACCCGCCCAGCGGCTGCGTCAGGCACATGGCGGCGGCGAGAACACGTGACTGTAGCGCGCCTAATCCTAGATATTGCTGAAATATTGTCGTCGCGAAAAAGGTAATCAAGTTGATTCCACACATCTGCTGGAACATTTGACCTGTAGCCGCCAGTACCGCGCGGTGGAATAGGCGCTGTTCCCCCATGCTCAGAAGATCCTTCCAGGAACCAGATCCGGTCAGGGCCAGCGATCGTTCGATGTCGCGCACGGCCAGCGTGATCACGGCATCCTCCGGGTCGGCGTCCGCCAGCGCGGCCAGGATCACGCGGGCTTCCTCGGAGCGGCCGCGCTTGAGCAGCCACCGAGGTGACTCGGGCATCGCCATCACGAAGGCCATCACCATTAAGGACAGCACCACCTGGAGCGCCAGCGGGAACCGCCAGGACACCGAGCTCCCCGTCACGAAAAAGAAGCCAAAGTCAACCCAAAGCGAGATGGTGATACCCGCGCCGATGAAGATGCCATCCATCACCACGTGGGCGCCTCGTTTGCTGGGCTGGGAGATTTCAGCCTGCCACACCGGGACGGTGGCAACATAGCCGCCGGTGCCGAGTCCTAATACCAGCCGAGCGACGATGAACTGGGCCAAGCCGAACGAAGTCGCCATGAGAATGGCCCCAATCATGGACACGGCGGATGCGAGGAAGATGACCCGCCGGCGACCCAGGAGATCGCCCAGGTAAATGCATGACAGTGAACCGAAAATGCCTCCGACGGTGTAGAGGGCAATTACCGTCCCTATGGGCAGTTAAATCTCCGTCCTAAACAACGTGAAGAGCCAGATGAAAAGAATTACCCTGGATGGTCGAATTGTAGCTTTGCTGCGCACCCGTCGTGGTGAGCGTGTTCATCTGCGGAAATGTTCTGATGAACGACTCGAGGGTTAGCAAGCCGCCTGTGACGGCCTGGTTATAGCCATAACACACGAATGCCGGACAGACGACGAGCCACATTACGGCACGTTCCAATTGCGAGCCCCGCAGGCCAAAATAGGGCGACATGCTGGCACGTTGTATGGATGGGGCCCGAAGCGGCGAGGGAGCATCTAAAGGAGAATTATGTGCGATAATCACAACAGTCGGCCAGGATCCTGTCCGGCACCTAACAATGACTGTCTAATCGACTGAGCCTAAGCCATTGGGAACCCTTTTTTGTATAGATCCAGCTTGATCACTTTATAGAAAACCCTCCGATGTTCGCTGGTGGATGGCCGGTCATCGCCGGTGGCCGTGGCAAGACCCGCCGCATTGACCAGGTTTCCCCAGATTTCAGTTTCTTGGACAAGGCACGGCGCGAGTCGCCAGTACGGAAGAGGGAAAGACGCGAGAGAATGTAAGCGAGGCCCCGGGCGACGCCTCCCTCTTGACCCCACTGGATACTACAGGCGATCGTCGATGGCATTCCCCACTAGCCGGGATGGCTTCCATCGGACCCGGCCGATGGGGGGCAATGGACCTCGGGCCAGGGCCAACCCAGCCAGCAACGAGGAGGTGTGTGCAACTGCGATGCTACCTCACTCTCTCATTTGACCTTCCAAGACGGTCTGAGAGGGGGTTGAGGGGTTTCTTCGACGTTTGTTTGGGTGGGATGTATTTCCATCCCTGGCGAGGGTAAAGTCACAAGTCACATGTGGCAGAAGACCAGCCATCATGAAGGGTGAACACGAGAAATTCCATCGGGGCGGCAGTGCGTTGGCTCCGCTTATGAGGCCGTTTCAACGGATATTCTTGTCATATCATCGCAGTCAAGGGAAGATAAGACTTCGTGTGTAGCCGAAATGGCGGGCGGTTTCATATCGATACTATCAAACTTGGTCAGTGATTCTTGTAACCGGGACAGTAATGGGCAAGATAGATAAGATATAAGATAATGAGAGAATCATTGACAGGAGGGCTATTACCTCTTGACTGGGAAGTCGGCAAATTATCTATCAGAACAACTGCCTGGTGGAACCCCGTTTGTCGTGAGTATGACACATCGTGGTGACTGTTGCGATCCAGCCTGGGCCGGAAGTCCGGGACATTCGCAGTGCAGATCGGCTGGAGCGCGGTGGACTTTGGTTATTGTCTGTTATTGGCGAACGCTGTATAATTTGCGGACCATATGTAGCATATTTGGCTATTATGGCTGCTGCTCGGATTGTGAACGTAATCTGGAAAATGAGGATGGAAGGGTGTTGGAGAAGCCGGGGAGGAGGGGAGGAGGAGAGGAGGAGAGGAGGAGAGGGGATTGCAACCACACTGTGGTCATGTGACTGTGCGGATATCACCAACTGCGTGATCTCAGTTGCTCTCTATATCAACCTTGTAGACTTGGTACTGGTAATTGTATGCCCAGGTTTAACCGATCCCAATCATACCGATCCCTAAGTAAGAAGATCCGCCAACATATATTTATGCACTCGTGTCCTCCGCAGGACTTGATATCCCAGAATGACTACACATCATAACGTGAAAAGATGAATATCACTAGAGACGAGCTTTCTGCTTCTGAAATAAGGGTTAGATAGAGTACTATTGAGCAAGGTACCTCTCTTAAACGTGAGCGTGCACATATTGGTGTGATATTCGCAACACACCATGAAAGATTGACTGCTGGAGCTGGAAAGTTACATATATTGACAAGAGATAAGCCACAACACATCAACTGGGTCCCATAGCTCAGTTGGTTAGAGCGTAACGCTAATAACGTTAAAGTCGAGGGTTCGAGCCCCTCTGGGACCATTTCTTTTTGCTGTTTCATGTTCTTTCTTGTCTATCATCTTTTTGGTGGTGGGCAGGAATATCTGAAAATCCGATTATCTTATCGACTACATATGGAATGCCGATCTCGACCGCGGCATCCTTTGTAATTTGAGAAGGCCTGAGCAGGGTGCCCAACATTGAAAAGTTGAGAGGGTCGACCAGCAGCTTCTGACTCGTCTACTACCTAGTACATGTACCACGAGGAAGGATTCGAAATTCTCCGGGGGCATCTGCATCAAAATCTCCTAGAGGATGGGATGCGAGACGGACTGGAGCCTGTTTGTGGGTGTTCGGGTTTGCCTGCCCTTCGTCCATCCTCAATGCCACGATAGACACCCCAGGACCGTTTCAAACCTTACACAGGAACGGTCTGAAAGTAGCAATGAAGTCACTTGTCATCAAACTACATCAACCAATATAGGTGCACATACGTCTACCAAATCACTTAACCTTAATCTTGTCAACCACTTTCCCATCCGCAACCCTAGCAGTTACCTCCACCTTGCCCTTCACCGGATCAACTGCCTCCAACCGCACCACCGAACCCTCATCATTCCCACCGCCACCAGCCACCCCAATCTCAGCCACCACCGCGCTAACAAGCTCACGATCCTCCTCTTCCTCCAAAAAGCGGGTATCCGGCCTCCAGATGCCGTCCGCATACCGCTCCGTCAACTCCTCGATCTGTTCCTCCCTCCAACCGACCGGATATCTCGCCAGCTCGTACAGCAGTTTCCACTGCTCCTGATGAGGTTGCGTGATCGGGGTATATCCATATATGTAAATGGAAGTCCAATCCCACCATCGTTGCTGTTGAACATACGTGCCATCAACAGCAGTATCATCACCATCATCAATACTACTATCCGACAACTCCAATTCACATGCCCGCTTTGCACCTTCCTCACGCAGGCAGCGCAGCACCTTCGGGAAAGCACAGTATGCTTCTGCGGCTCGAGAAGGCGGACCCTGCCCGTCGTCGTAGACGACCTGTTCGTCTATAGCGGCCCGCTGTGCTGGACCCGGCTTATATGTGGCCAATTTCTCCATATGGGCTCGGCGACTGAGCTCGGCGGAGTGCAGGGCATGGTCGAGGACAGTAAAGCCACGAGGCTTGCTAGGGTCAAGATCATTCAGGCGCGATCGCAGGCCCAAAGAAAGAAGTAGAGTGGTAGTTCGGACTTTGCCGCGGATCACAGCGGCTATGAGACTATGTATCGCCCCCTGATTGGGGAGGAATAGTTTCTGGTAAGTCTCATGAATGTCCCCGGTGTCCCCCATCTTACTCTCTGTGGCGGATTTGCCAGAACAGATGTATTGCAGGGCAGCGGTGATCAGGTCGTAAGTGTCTTTATCATGAAGAACGGCATTATTGGCGATGGCGAAAAAAATATCTTTACCTTGATCCGTGAGAAGTGTTGGCGAGGCACCTTTGTGTAACAGGAAGAGACCGCGCCTAGCTGGATCGTCTTTGGTCTCGAGTGCGATCGACAAAGGAGTGGCGCCCCGGCGGGTCTGCGCGTTAAGGTCTGCTGGAGGATCGTGCTCAAGCAGGATCTCACACGCTTGTTCGAATTCGTCCTCGGGGTGATATGTTGTTGACAGAGAATGCAGGGGCGTGTCATTCTCAAATCTGTTCCGGATGTCTATGTCGGGCATGGCAGTGACAATCTGTCGGAGGGTAGGGATATATGAGCGTGGGTAGTCTAGCCGGGGGCCCACGATCGAGGCCCACGAGTGAAGTACTAAATCTTCCTGTCAAGTTTATGCGACAAACTACAAAGGAGCTGCCCAGAACATACCAGTGTCTCCCGCGGACAAGATTGATTCGTGAAGGTCTGCACCCACATCGAGCAGGGCGCTGACTATGCCACCATTCCAGACCCCCAGATCGACAGCAGCAGCAATGGGGGTGAGCGGTGGATATCCTGTGTCCTTAGCATTGACATCCGCCCCAGCATCTAACAAGAGACGAATTAGCTTGCTCGTATGATTGAGATATGTCTCACAGTTGCCGTGCCGGATCCATGCGTGCCAATGGTTGGGGAGGTAGCCATGTCGCTCAGGGAAGTATTTTGTCATGCTGTGAAGGGTGTTTCTCCCCATTGAGTCGATGAGCTTTCCATCAGCTCCACGGGTCACGAGAGTGTGAGCCACTTCGACATCACCAAACCACGCAGCCAGTGCAAGAGGCGTGGTTGCACTGTCACAGCCATGATATTTAGCATCTAAATTGGCACCTAGGTCGATGAGAGCATTCATCGCTGCTAGGTTGCGAAAAGCCGCAGCCCAATGCAGGGGCGTTCCATGAGGTAGTTCAAATGGGCTGCGTAGCGTCAGCAATGGCTAGAATAGAATAGCATAAGGCTTATGCAAACCCACTAATGCACCATCTGGATTCGTTCTGGAAATCCTCCACTATTCTCGCTGACAACGGGTCGGATGACAGCGTTGACATCAGCACCTGCTGCAACTAGCTGCTGTGCAGTCAAGTGGATAACTTCGTCCGGCAACATGAAGAGCCAATGCAACGGAGATAATCCAGTCGGCCGTGTTGTGCGAGACGCATCTGCCTTTCTTTGAAGAAGGTACTGAATTATACTTGCATGACCAGCCTGGCATGCTTTGTAAAGAGGAGTCTCTCCACTATCGTTCTCGACATCAACAGCTATGTCCGCTTCGTCAAGGAGTGATCGAACCGTATCAAGCTCTCCAATTGCAGCAGCTGCATGGAGGATGGTATTCCCCTTCTGATCAACTATCAACCCATGTTCCAGGTTCCATTTGACAGCCTTATGGGGACTGCGTGTGGCATCTACCACAGCCTGTTTTCCCAGGAAGGGATCTGCACATAATCCGCCATTGCGACGAAAAGTGCTCTTCGCCTGTTCCAGCTTCTCACTGGTAAGAGCGGACTGAGGAGCGAAAAGATATCCTTCAGCGACGGCTTGGAAAGCCCAATCTTCCAGCACCTTCGCCTCGAACTCGGGCGATTGGTCATGAGCAGCCATTACTTGAGCATAAACAGCCCTTGCTGGAGAGTAGCCACCTTTGGCGGCGTCAGTCACGTACGATAGAAGACGATTAAGATATGAGGGTTTGGCCCCTGTCACGGTCTGCGCCATTCCTAGTAGGACATCGCCCGGGGTTTCTGCCGACGCACCCTGCTTCGCCGCCATGTATTGTGCTTCCAGTTCGGCCAAAACGGACGGATCGAGTCGGTACCAGAACAATGGCCCTTTATTGTACATTGGATCCAGCGTACCAACATATGGAGCAGGTTCACTTCCGACCTTGGCAAGAGATAACCTATTCACTTAGAATCTTCCTCGAAAGAAGATATCAGGGATACACATACCAAGAAGCATACGCAGGAGTATCCGTCTTCAACAGCTGAGAAGTCGGTAGCGGTCGGTTCCTTGGATCTTCTGCGAGAAGCTTGAGAATCGCCTTACGAAGCTCCGTACGCAATGCAGAAGGAATATCTTCACGCTCATACAGCATTTCAGAGATCTCCTCGCTTGCATTTTCGGGGTCCTCGTCAAGATCGACCGGCTCTCCTCGATTGACAAACATGGATAGCACCGTCAGGCCAAAGCTGTATGCATCGAATCGAAACATCAGATCCGGCTTGAAAGGACAGAAGCGCGTCAAATCATCGCCGGCCACCTCGGGCGCCAGCCACACCGGCGTTCCACGATAGTCACTCATAGTAAGCCGAGCGTCGGGGGCCTCCAGATCGATACAGACCCCAAAGTCACTTAACTTAGCTCTAAAAGGCACTTTCTCGCTCTCCATGCCAAACACAAGCACGTTATCTGGCTTAAGATCACCATGCACTATATGCAGATGATGCAATGCCTCAATGCCATTCGCAACATCTAAGCTTAATTGATACTTGGCTTCGGACGAGCAGTCATTGTCAACTGCGAGGAAGTCCGTCAATGGCATCAAAGCGGCTTCCACGAAAAGAACCGGAACCGGCATATCGGCGAAGGGATAGTCATAGCCCCACGCGATCAGCCGAACAATATTGGGGTGACGCCGCAGAGCCGGATTGCAGAGGGCGAGTAGCTCTAGTCCGAGTGTGCGCAATTGAAGACGATACTCTGGGGTGTCTGCAAATCGCTGAGCGGCTTTTCGGGAAAGAGGCACGTTCACCCGCTTGATTACCAGACCCTCATTGCCGGTATAACCTTCATGCGACTTTTCCTTGAAGACAGTGAACTGGGAGCCAGAGCCGATCTTCGTTGCTCGCGTCGCCAGGTTGAGGGCCTTCAACAGTCGCGGTCCATGGATTCCAGTCTGGGACAATATTCCCGCAAATTGAGATACTGTGCTTAGAATAGCCGACTCTCCATTCCGGGTTGCAGTAATCGCCGCTTCCAAAAGGTCACTAGAATGAACCGACGACAGGCTCAGGCTATCGAGATCCAGGTCCAAATCCACAACATCATAGCTATCGGCAGTGCCGGAGGCCCAGTCCCTCAACGATGGAGAAAGGTCCCCATTATCCAAAGAGGATAGAAGGTCGAAAGACTCATCTTCCGACATGGTTGCGTATGCGAATGTCAGGGGATGTACTTTTGGACGCGCAAGGCGGGGGGAGGAAGTATTTGTTCTTCACTACCGGCCTCTAAACGAATCGGTGGCGGCGCTATGGATCTAGAGCTATATTAGCCCCTCACTATGCTTATTAGCCGGCATTTCTTCAGCCGCGTCTGACATTTATGACATCTTGCCAGCCCCCCACCCCCTCTCCTCTGTGCCGTCCGTGCTTTTATCATCCATCGCTCGCCCTCAATCAGTTGCAACGACCGAAGCGATCGCACCCAAAATGGATGTTTACGGCACAGCGGTAACGGCCATCACGCAGGCCTACCAGGTAACCGTTTTTATCCAAGGCGTTATCTCTGACATCAAGTCCTTCGATGAGGACCGGGCGGAAGTCCGCCTGAAGCTGAACGTGCAGCTCTCGACCCTGCTCTTTTTCCGTCGCATTTTTGTTCACCCTGATCATGGCCTGCTCCTGCCCGGAAAACTCGACCCTTTCATTGCACAAACCATCGAGGGCCTGCTCGTTCAAATGCGCAAGACATTGACCGAGTATGAGCTGGTGGCTGTCAAGTATGGCCTTGTGATAGGCGATGAAGAGGACAAAGGCTTGGAGAAACCCGAGCAAGTTAAAGAAACACTCCTGCAACGCATTAAGACCAAAGCCACGTCCCTGAAGCTGAAAGGCTATGATTGGTCGTTGTTCGACAAGAAACGGGTGCACAAGATACTTGAAGCCTATACCAACTGGTCGGCCGATTTGCGCAATTTGATGCAGCATCTGTCCCAGGATACACTGTCCCGGGTAGTGGATGAGAACGACCAGGGCCTCAAGACGACCGGGCTGGAGCCTGTAATCAAGCGGCGAAAATTGGTCGAAGCGCATGCTCCGGCCGACTTTCAAAGTTTGAAAGGCCAAGTCAGTGAGGAAGGTAACGTGTCGGGCGGCTTTCAGTTGGGACGCTGGACGCCACCCGGCTCGACATCCGGCACGACGGTGGTTATAGAATTTCATGAGTATGAAGGCACGTTAAAAGGCGGTGATCTCGAACCGGATGAGATTGAAGAGTTGAAAGAGCCCATTCGCAATCTAGCTTGGCTTTTAAAAAACAGCACCTTCAGTAGCCACAAGTCCTCCGAGGCTGAACCAGGGTTAGAGCCACCTCAGATTTATGCGATGGAGTGTTTAGGGTTCATCGACCAGCCGGAAGAGGAGCGCAACGTCTTCCTCTATAGCCTTCCAACTTCAGATGAGGTAGCTCAGCAACAAGACGCAGCAGCGACATCAAAACTCACCACCCTCCATAGCTTCATCAACGCTGTAGATCGGGAGAACAAGCGACCACTCAAACGGCCATCCTTGAATGATAGGTTCAGCATGGCGCACTGCCTCGCAGTGACCCTGCTAAATGTCCACGCCTCGAAGTGGGTTCACAAGAATGTCTGGAGCAAAGGAATCCTTTTGTTTTTGCAGACTCCAGCAGGCGTCCGCGCTTCGGGTCTTCAGGCGCACCGACTGTCAAGCACCCCAAAGTCCCAGAATCGAATACTCGCATACCTGAGTGACTGGGGCTACGCACGGTCTGAGCAACAGGGCACGGACATGCGTGGTGACTTCGAGCCCGAAGCGAACCTCTACCGTCATCCTGAACGGCAGGGAAAGCCCACCCGACAGTTCCAACGGCGCCATGACATCTACGCCTTGGGTGTAGTGTTGTTGGAAATTGGTCTTTGGGTGACATTGTCTCGACTGATGGAGTCTAAAATCCGCGACGCAGAAAAGACCGGACGACTACCAAGACCTAAAAAGGTCGCCTCCGATTTAACTGCGCTAGCCCAGCAGAATCTGCCAAAGGAGATGGGCGACGGTTATGCTCAGGCCACGATAAATTGTCTGACAGGAAATTTTCGCGACGGGGATGCAGAATTTGCCTTGGACTTTCAAGAGAAGGTGGTGAATGTGTTGGCTCAGGGAATAAAGCTGTGAAAAGTTCGTTGCGAAAGAATGTATTGGATTGACCTCGCTTGAAATGCCGTTCTGCTACCGATTTCTCTTTTCTAGTTTAGCCTTGACCTTCTGTTCGTAATGATCCTTCCACCGCGCAAGAACAGCTGCCCGCTGACCATCTGAAGCCAACTGAAGTTCTGCGATACCCTGGGCAATGCGTGATTTCACGACACAGCATCGTCGATTCTTGCCGTAAGAATTAGCAATGCTGCGATGAATTCCATTCAGGGGATATCCCAGCAAGCCCCATAGACCTATACACAACAGTCAGTGAGGCGCACGCCAGACCAGAGAAGCCATTCGAAGCCTACCCGCTTGAGGTTTGATCAACAGTCCTCCAATACCCTTGCCAACGCCGGATGCTAGACCGGAAGCACCCTGACTATCCCATCCTTGATGAGGTTGAGTCACGACGCCAGTGAGCCCGTCGTACCAGCTGTACACGAACTCCTGTGACACGTTAGCCATCTGTGACAAAGCGGTACCTCATACGGTGAGTCTAACCTGGCCAGCTGCGACGAACCCTGACTTGACTCCCGTGGCTATGGGTGCCTCTCTCACAGTTTGGTCGTGATAGAATCGAGGAGCATTGTGGAATGTATGGCACAATATGAATGTGACGCTCATTGGGATCTCAATGATCCAGTCCAATAATTGACGTCCAGTGTAGCCAGAATTGATGAGTACATTACTCACAGACGCCGTGCCACGGTTCATGGTCGGCATGTCCAGGGAGCTCTGGCTCGAGGATGATTTCAGCGAATTACTCGAAGGGACGATGGAGATGCCGGAGTCTGATCGTTGACGCGTCTCGGGCTTATCTGTCAGAGTTGTCGAGCGCGACGGGGTGACAGGCGCTTGCGTCGCGCAATAGCTCGAGAGACTATATCTCTCGGCGAATCTGATGGAACGCGACCGTGCGAAGTTTTGCACTAGTTGAACGGGCATCTCGACCAAGCCTGTGAAAAAGTTCGTGAGGGATCCAGCGAACATCTCAGCTCCAGGAAGACCTGGAACGCCCGGATCAAGGTTTGTATCGTATGATTTGATTCGAAGTCTGTTTAAGATGAGTCTACCGAAAACCATGGAAGTGCAAGAGAGCGTACAACTTGATGTTTTTTGGGTCTAGCTGCTTTGAGTGGACAAGAACTGCAGCAGCGAATGCACTGAGAAAAATGCTTGTGTGCTGCACTCGCCATACAGCCGGACGGTCAGGGCACAAAGCGCATCTCAACCTATTCAGGCTCAAATGCTTATGGAAGCTTTCCATTGCCGCTGCGGCACCTTGCTCGGCTTGTATCTTACAGCTCAAGACCTTTGCTTGCTCTTGAATCTCGGGTTCCATGCAGTGCCGAATTGCGCCCGCAAGCTTATCGGCTGTCAATAATTTAAAGGGGATTGGCGCAGGCCCAGCACCATTGGAGGCAACAAGCATCCCCCAGAAAGGTTGATCACCGAAGAATGGAACAATAACGGTGGGCCGGCCCAAGGCTAGCCCGGTTGCTGTCGTTCCTGCACCACCATGATGGACAACGCATGATACCCGGGAGAACAGCCAGTCGTGCGGACAATTGCCTAGGAAGTAGACATTCGGGTCATCAGCCTCGTCAGCACCGATATTACCCCAACCCTTGGATACTACTGCTCGCTGACCAGACATTCGAACGGCCTCGAGGATGGTCTGCGTCAGTGCTTCCGGGTCGTCGACAACAATGGATCCGAATCCGATGTAGATCGGTGGTGATCCAGCTTCGAGAAAATCGACTAGATCCTGAGGCGGCTCATACTTGTCGTCATGCGGCACAAAGGAGAACCCAACTACATCGATATGATCGAGCCAATCGTCAGGCTTCGGCAAGAGGGAAGGAGACCTAAACAACCCGTTGAATTCGAGCTCCCAACAAATAGATATCCTTCAGTTGTACGTACCACAGATATGTGAAAGGGATTCTCAGCCGAGAAAGAAGGCTGGGCGCACGCATAGAATCCAGCCGCTCCAGTCCCAACTCATGGCGGCGGAATTCGTTGATCAGGTCACCCACGCCTTGCCATATCACTGTTTCCGCTATCATGTACGACATTAGCTTTCCTACTGACGATTTGGTATTTGTTGAGCGAACTTTCGCCAGTGGATGTGGAAAGGCTTGCGTGGGCGACCATGGCATCCTGTGCTCCATGTAAGCATTTACCGACAAGGAAACAACCACCATAGAAATAGCCTACGTGAACATCAAATGAAGAGGAATCCCCATCTTCTCGGCACAATGAATGTGTGCAAAGCTCGGAGGGTTGGCGATAATAGCATCTGCGACGAATGGTGGCGCGCCGGTACACTCAGCCGGATTGAAGGGGTGAATGCCTTCCCCGGGTTCGAAACATGATCGCCAGCAGCCACCAAGAATCTCTCGGACATCCTTCCTCCGTCGACTGATGTCCCCCTGCGTGATCGCTTCAACCTTAGGGACCAAGTTGGGGTTCTTGACCATAAACGACATGAGCTGCGCCGGATCTCCTCCAATGTTGAAGAACTCCAAATCATGAGCGCGCACAAAGTCTCGAAATACTAGGTGTGTGGCTAATCGGACGCGATGACCGTGTTTCTGCAGTTCCTGTCCGAGCGCAATGAAAGGTTGCACGTCCCCACGAGACCCCACGACGTGTATGACCACATTCAGCCGGAGCGGAAACCGCGTGGCGCTATCTTCTGGCATCCACGGACGATGATGCTCAGCCTGGCGCCGTAGAACATCGAGGAAGCCCGCAAGGCGGGGACAGTTCTCCTGTAGGTCGACGAGCAAGCGTCCATCATCTAGGGATCATTCGTGAGATTAGCGACCGTACCGATGATTGGTGTCCGAAATCGAGAGTCATACCTGTAACTGCACTCTCTGCTAGGAGGCCCGGAATGAGGGCCTTGAGCGCCTTTGCCTCGCATAGTTGAGGATTGATCGTCTCAGTCATGGCTAGGAGTTGCTGCTGATCTGGAAGCTTGGGATGGGATGGTTTGAGTATCTCATGTCCAGACAGAAGAGGCCACCATGCTTGTCTGGCAGTCCTCACTTGACTTTGTTCCTGGCATTGTTCAGACAGCAGATGTGCATGACAAATTGCTTATTTGGATTCCTGGCTCTGTGGCGTCAGTGGTATTCGATCTCGATCTGGGCCGATCTGAGAGTCTCGTGCGACGGCCGAACCACGGTTCGTGCTCTATTTCCGACATGTTGATAACTTGATATATAATCATGTCCTAGGATCCTTGGTTGTCAACATGTCAGCACGGGGTACCCCCGCAAAATACCTTTCACACACGACGTCATCTTCTGTCCAAGCTGATGGGTCCTGGTTGAGTGGATCGAGAATCGAGAATGAGGCCTGGGGTCAAGCTGAGCTGTGAGCTCCGGCCCCCGGGGAGAGATGGCCGGCCGCAAGCGGTAAGAACAAAACGGGCGCCCGCGGGCCGCATATCCATTGGATAATGAGTCCCGTATTAGCTGTGCAGCAAGTTCTATCAGACAGGCAGAATTTGGTGGAGGTCTATATGCCTTTCCCTCTGCTATAGAGGCAAGTACTAATTCTAAGCTTCCTACCTACTTAGTTTATCTCATCTAGAACCCCCTATTCAGCTCTGACCCTAGTCACCGGTCCCCGATATTGATGCTTCGCATACAGCACATAATAGCCCACGGCCAAGAGCACCACCCCAGAGAAAATCACAATACTCCAATTCATATCCGCAGCATCGGGGTGATTGGTGAGAGGGAAGAAGCTGAATGTCAGGATAACAACCAGCACAAGGATCGAAACGGTGTCAATGAACGGCGTGGCGCGTCCAAGACTCCAACGTGCCGGAGGGAGGTAATCGCCTCTCCATCGTCTGAGACGCACACACGAAATCGAAATCAAGTATGAGGAAAGCAAGGCAGCTGTACCTAGTGACATGATGGCATTGAAAGCGACTGCGGAACCAATGTTGATGAGGGAGAGGAGGGTCACGATAACCATGCTGACGCATAGGGCGTTGAGAGGGACTTTGAGGGTCGGGTGAATCTGATTTTCTTATATTAGTCTTCAAACTTTTACGTTATCGCACTGGTCTGGGAACAAGCAGATTTTGATTCTAGTGGGGCAAAAAGAAGTTGTACCTTTGAGAAAAATCCAGCAAACGGCAGGCCTTGGTCACGGGCGAATGCGTAAATCTGTCGAGATGTCGTAGCGACGTTGCTGATGGCAGCACAAAACTGCATGATCATGATCACAACTGTCATCCCGGTGGCTGCGCAGGTCGAGCCAGTGGCGTTCCGGAAGACCTGGATGAAGGCGAATCCGGTCTGACTGGCCATGACTTCTTCAATATTGCCGAGACAGAACGCAAAGGTGATGATCATGATGAAGCCGGTGATCCCGTTCAGGATTAAGGTGCTAACCATGCTTATGGGGAGGACGCGGGAAGCATCTCGAATTTCTTCGGCTGGTGAGGTTTTAGTACTTGACCATAAAATTGAATCCAGTTCCAGTTCCTGACAAGGGGCAGGGGCCGTGGCTAGAGAACTTACACATGTGCACTGCAGAGTCGGGACCTAGATGAAACGATCGAATGAGTATGAAGGAGCAAGTGGTCTATTAAGATATCGACATACCGATAAGGGCATAGATTGGGCCTGTCAGCCCTACCAAGCACGCAAGCCCCATATTACCCCACGAGCCATTGTCCTCAAACGACCCAAAGACCTCCGAAGCAGGGGCCGTGGGCGACAACACCCACAGCGGAATCAAGATGCCGAAAAAGCCAAAACAATGCACGATCAGAATAATACCTTCAATAAAAGACAGCTTCTGGGCCAAAAGGGTATTGAACAATAGTGCCCCTAGAGCTGCTGCGATCACGATCAGCGTCACATGCCACGGTTGATAGACATAGCTGTCTGGGTAGTTGATCGCGAGTAAGCCAACCAACATGTTGGCGACAGTGTAGCAGCAGCCTGCGATTCCCGTATGCCAGCCCAAAACACACACCCAACCGGTGAGATAGCTGAGAAAGCGTTGCTTGCTGGGAGGTGCGAACTCTGAAACCCAATGATACTGCCCGCCAGACGTTGGAGCCCTGACGCGGTCAGCAACGATTCACATCCACTTGTATTGAATCACTTACATAGAGGCCATTTCAGCCATTGACAGAATCACGAAGCTGAAGCCTATCACTGCCCCGAGGTAGGTATAAATCATTCCTGCCTTTCCTCCATCTGTGAGGCCGTACGAAGCCCCACTGTCCGATCTAGTTAGTCAAGGGTGCAGTACATGCTACTGGACAAACATACAACAAGACGGCTTCCCAGGTACACATCAAAACTGCGCTGAACCCGACAACGGAAACAAGTCGAAAGTTTCGCTGATCAAGTTAGACTCCATTAGCAGGCTGCATTGACCAAGTTGGTATGCTCACATTCAATTCCTGTTCTCTGCCTACACGCCACATATCCTTTCGATCCTGTACCGTGCCATCTTTTCTCGTAGCCTTGGAGTTCTCATACTCTCCAGGGGATGAGTACGTGGAGAACTCTGGTGCCTTCTCCGTGGTATTCAACATTATGGCTGCATGCACTGGTGAGAGGATATGAGCCAAAGGTAGACCGCAGAGAAGAGCGCGCACTTGAAAAGAGGGGACCCCCCCTACTTAACGTGATCATCGCAGCACGGATTGCCCATGGGCCGGCTGGTCTGGACGTTTCATTGACGGATAAGATTAATATGCTGATATGGTCCATCAGCAGCTAAAAGTTAGGGTTGCGAATATAATTGATTGTGTGACCTCCGCGGGCCAATTTCCCAAAGTGCTTATCCCGCAGTATCCCTGCAAATGCAACGGCACTTATGCACACTAAAAACCCCGTCGCTATGTAGACTGACTGTGCCACAAATTTCGCTGCAGGAGGGCACTGCTCAGCACGATTCTGTAGATGGCATAATTAATTTCTTATATCCATCCCTGTTAGTCCGGTTTTAGATCAGACAATGGGGAGACGCACCCCGGTCTGCGCGAATTTCTTGTGACATATGTTCGACCGGCTCCAGTGGACAAGGATCGAAGACTTTCATTGAAACTGTTGTCTAATAGGGGAGGTGTCCAATCTCCGATTTTATTAAACGTGAGCCAGTTGTAAATTGACAGAAAGATCTCTGGCTTCTCTCAAACACAGATTGCCACTGCGACTACAGAAGTATGGACCAGTCGATATGCCACATGCAGCCTATGTGATCTCAGACACAGACCGTCGTGGTCTGGTGGTCGTTGTCGCCACTCTCTTCATGTCCTGGATGGTCCTGGTCAGTCTCTTCCGCATCTACATGCGCTTGACGATCATAGGGCCGTGGGGACTGGACGACTTGCTGGCAATATTCGCTGCTGTAAGTGTTGAATCATACCCCAGATACTGGAGGGGGCTATAGATCTGGGATATACTGAGACCTGGGTATGTGGGTAGATCTTGGGGATCGCTAATGTCGGGGTGACGATGGAAGGTGTCAACGAGGGACTAGGAAGCACAGAGAAACATCAAAGGGCATCTCAAACCGAAGTCGCTGAACAGGTATGTTTCACTTGATGGTTGATAACAGACTGAGGGCTCGTCGGCTGATTTCTTAACTCGTCTAGGACTTATATGCTGCGAATATACTGTTCCTCGCTGGCCATTGTGCAGCCAAACTTTCCGTTCTCTTTCTCTTGCAACGTCTGGGAAGGGAAAGATCATATCTGAGGGCGTGTCAGGGAGTGATGGTGGGAATTGTTCTGTGGGCGGTGGTATCGATTCTGATCGTTTCTTTGAAATGTCCATTTCGTCACCCGTGGCTCATCGGCCAGTGTGCGAGCATTGTAAGTCCTTGCTCTCTTTGTGAATGGCTTCCAAGTTGACGGCAGTCCTAGCTCCCTCGATGGCAAGCCATCACCGTCCTCGATGTCATAACCGAACTTTCGTTGCTTATCCTCAGTTTGTATCTTGTGTGGCCGATCCGTTTAACACGAATGCGCAAGGCTGGTGTTATCGGAGCGTTTGGGACGAGGATCGGGTAGGACTTCTGCACCTTTCAATATCTCCTGCCTCGTTCCAAATCAGCTTCTGACCTTCTGTCTTCTAGGATTGTTAATCTTTCCATCGTGCGGCAAACCACACTGAACACCATTGCACATACCAACGACCTCCTTCTCGACATCTCCGACGCAGTCATCCTGACTCAGGTTCTCTTGCATTGCAGTATCATGGCAGCAACATTGCCCTGTCTCAAACCTTTTGTTGTGGCCTTTAATACTGGTTGGGGTCAAGGCACAGTTGGGCAAGATGGTGGTAGCTATTACCATCAGCCCAGTACGGCGTCAGCGACTGGGGAAAGGTCTCATGCTGCTTCGGGGAAAGGAAGATCGGAGACCTCACGGCAGAAAACTCGGGACAGGGTGGCTGTGAATAGTTCGAGTCACCGGGACTCTCAAGAGTGGATCATTCAGGAGACACGAGAATGGTCGTTGCGGTATGAGACGATCGAGATGAAGCCAGTGGATTCGAGAAGATAAATGAATGGTGCTTTGGCTATGTATCGTCTGGTACGGCGGCTACCACCAAGAATCTCGTAATTAATGCCTGATGTGGTATGTGGGTCAGTAGTCATACTAGCGGTAACACTCGTAAGATATACTCTTTGCAGGCGATGTACAGTGCCTGGCTCCGTGATATAGTCTCGCTGCTGGAAAAAAAAAAGGAAAGAAAGAAATTAGCAGCTGGCGCAGTTGTAACTGTTTAACCATGATCTCTATAAGATATATGGACTTTGACGAGGGCTTTTCTAAAGTACTCTAGACTACTCGTGGCTTACACACCCATCATTTCACTCAAATACCCTACGATATGTCCCTCTCTCGAAGATCTATAGCAGGTAAGACGTGGGACAAATGACGACTCTCAAATCAGGATTCTAACAGATTCCACTTCTCAAGGAAGCCTGCAGCTTCTACATAGCGCGAGGATTACGCCATTCCAATGCCAGAAACCGATTGACAAGCGACCTCGCTCATCTCTGACGGCCAGTGGACGCTGCCGGAAAGAAGTCGCCCTTGCGACGCACGATCAACACCAAAGCTCCATTCAATACGCACTGTCAGTACTCTCAGCAACCTTCGTTCTCTCTTCGCCAGCCCCGTCTGACTGATTCGCGTCCAGGACCACCCTCGACCAAGTCACCAATTGGGCCCTCCAGGGCTCCTTGTGGCCCATGACCTTCGGCCTGGCGTGCTGTGCCGTGGAAATGATGCATGCGGCCGGTCCCCGTTACGACATAGAACGCCTGGGAATGCTGTTTAGAGCCTCCCCTCGACAGGCGGATCTCCTGATCGTAGCCGGTACGTTGACGAACAAGATGGCGCCAGCGTTCCGACAGGTCTACGATCAGATGCCCGAGCCACGATTCGTGATTAGTATGGGCAGCTGTGCGAATGGGGGTGGGTATTATCACTATAGTTACTCCGTGGTCCGGGGCTGCGATCGGATTGTGCCAGTGGATGTATATGTACCAGGATGTGAGTGCTGTCTTCCGCGAGCTAGAGGTTCCATGAAAGACTTGATGACTGATGAAATTATAGGCCCACCAACAGCCGAAGCTTTGCTATATGGAATTTCCTTGGTACAGAAGAAGATTCGGCATAGGAAAGTGACTCGGATGTGGTATAGACGTTGAGGTCTTGTCCGGTCTGACTCTAAAAACATGTATCTAGTTGAGATTGACAGATTGTTTCAAAGGAGTAAAAAAGACTTAGTCATCACAGTACCAGGTTTGAGTTCTTGCCAGAGTAAGGCTTCACTCCACCAATTTTCTCCTTGCTATCACCACCATACCAATGAGAACCGGTTGAGAAAGTAGACCTCATATAACACAGTTGCCTCATGAGTAGTCAAACAAGGAAGCAGAAGCAAAAGTCGCACCACGGTTGTCGTCGATGCAAACAACGAAGTGTCAAGGTCAGGCTTATAGCAGACCAGCCCAGGGGTTTGAAGATAGCCTTCGCTTACTGTTTCATGATCATATTGTATAGTGCGACGAAAAGCGGCCGGATTGTTCCAATTGCATCAGGCGACAAGAGATCTGCCACTATGCTGCCTCTGGGCCCTGGATCTGGACCCAGCAATCCATTCATGTAGCCCATGCAAGTCCCCTTACAACATCAGCAGCAGCAGTACCATCAGCAGTATCATCAGCATCAACATCAAAACCGGGCCCAACGCTCAATCAACATCCCCAAAGCCCTAAGACCAGACCGGCAAACCATCATCAAGATCCTCGCCTGATGCTATCACTGCCACCATCACCTCCACCTATCAACACCTCCCCTCAACACCATCCCCTCTTCCTCAACTGGACCACCTCCACCTGCCACTCCATCGCCCGCACTCCGATCGACCGCCGGATCTGGCAAACCGTGATCCCGCAACAAGCCCTGGGATGCCCGTACCTCCTCCACGGCCTCCTCGCCATCTCCTCCCTCCACCTCGCCCTGCAGCAACCCATCTCACCTACCCAGCGCCACCGCAAAAGCAGCCTAATAACAGCAGCAGAGCACCACCAAAGCGCCGCAATCACCCTCCTCACGCAAGCCCTCCCCAGCACCACCAACAACAAAACCACCACCTTCGCCCTCTCCTGCCTACTAATAGGCTTCGCATTCGCCTTCCCCCTCGCAACCGCAGAACCCACCTCCCCGGGCCACCCCTCTATCAACCACAACCCACACCCCGATCCCCTCGACGACCTCCTGAACATCTTCACGCATATCCACAAAATGATGGCCTTCTCCACGCCGACAATCCCGCACCTCCGCACAACCGAGATGGGGGATCTTCTCCACCTCCGCCTCAACCACAACGACCCTAATCTGCTCCCAACCTTATCCCAACCCTCCCACCAAGCAATCACAACCCTCCTGCAGCACCTCCACAACAGTTCCCCCACCTCCTCCAACTCCGAGGAATACCCCATCTACCAAACAGCCATCGCCCACCTCGCCCACCTCCTCGCCGAGCGCGATGACGACAACGACCCCAAAGATCTCGTCTCCGCCAGCTTCCTCTGGATCTGTGCCCTGCCGACCGGGTTCCTCGAGCTCCTCCGGCGCCGCCGGCCGCTGGCGCTGGCCATTCTGGCGCATTACTGCGTGGTGCTGCATGCGCTGCGGCAGCGGTGGTGGATTGCCGGGTGGGGGCGGCGGGTGTTTCAGACGGTGGATGGCATCCTCGAAGAAGAAGGGGAAGAGTGGAGGGTGGCGTTGGAGTGGGCTTGCAGGCAGATTGAGGGGGCAGGAAGGAAGTAGTAGTAGCTACTATACGCTGAGCTTACTCATAGCTAAAGAGGATGGTTGGGTTGTTCTTCATAAGCCATACGGCCATATAACACTATACTGTACACAGTACATACACATACTGATAGTACTAAAAACAGTCCCAGTCCCTCCCCACCACTAAACTAATCAATCAATGGGTAGAATCCCCCGCCTCAGCCCGCAAAACCACCACCCCGTCCACCGCCCGCAGTTGCTCGACTGCTTTCTCGGAGAGACTAAAACTCGGGGAAACCAGGGATAAGCAACCTCGACTAGAATCAATCTTTGCTCCGCCAACCTTCCATGGACTTAGCAATATTAGGGAAGAAAACACTCACGTCAAGAAGTTAGTCGGGGGGATATTCCGCGTACTAGCCCAGACGTCCGAGCCGGTGTCTTCTAGGATAATCCTGCGGTCGTTATGCTGTTAAGGACACTGAAGAAGTAGATAAAGGTCATCTACTGCCACAAGCAGACAGCCTTACTTCTTCACCTGATCGCGGATCTCCGCCGTGCCGAATCCCATGTCATCGGCGTAGCGGAATTGAACGGACTGGCGCGGGGTTTTAGTGTGCGGTGCGGTGCCAAGAATCCGGCAGGGACTAGGCTTTACTTACCATGCTTTTGCTGGACATCTCGAATGAGGATCCTGTGGGGCTGTTGATGGGGTTCGAATGATGTAGATGGTGTTTTCGCGAGGTGCAGTTGAGGTTTCATTGTTGGTGGTGGTTGTTCCGCGGCTAAAAGTGATGATCAGCGTGAGAGTTACTGCTTTGGGAACCATCGCTAATTTATGTACATAGTTGGTATGCCCACTGTTCCCACGCTTCATCGGGATAAGGTCTAGTGTGTTGCCTCTCTATCGGTGATCTGGCTGTCGAATAAAAGACCTGACAAGCTGGGCAGCACTTTCATGGGATAACCCCTCGATCGATACAGACCCGGTTCAAGACCCGATGCTTACTTACGGCACATACAGGTCATATCCCACAAGGCTGAATACCTAGAATGCGTACGCATCAAAACAACATAAAGTACATATATATGTGCAGAGCTATCTCATAGCTAGATTGTCATCTCATCATATCATCCATCTATACAAAATGCCATCCGTCCTTCCTTCAAACATGCAATTTCGGGTTCGTCAAATCCAACTCAAACGCACTGGCCCAATCCTATAACACCAAGCTAAGCGCCGACCTGTCTTCTTCTCATGCCAACCTGCAGCCCAAGAGGCTTACGTAGGAAGCCCTCGCGGCTCTCCATGGGTCCATCCTGCTGCATCTCGAACTCGAACAAGCGGAAGACGGTGCCACAGATAACAAGCAACTCCATTTCAGCAACGTTGCGACCAACGCAGGCACGGGGACCGGTGCTGAAGGGAATGAACGCGGCCTTCTGGCGGGCAGTGAGACGGGCAGGGTCCCAACGCTCGGGGACAAAGTCGTCGGCGTCAGGGCCCCAGATCTCCTTGGAGTGGTGAATGGTGTAGCTCGGCACAGAGACAATGTCCCCGGGGTAGAAGGTGTGGCCGGAGATAGTGACGGGAGGGTTGCCAGCGGGAATTTCACGGGGAAGGCCCATCGCCGACGTGCTGTGGATACGCATGGTTTCCCAGATGACCCATTGCAGGCTATGCGATCGTTAGAACTTGTAGACGACAAGAACAAGAGGGAAGAAACGTACTAAGGAATCTCCTTGACCATGGCGTGGGTGGGCACCTCAATATCCTTGGGAATGGCCTCATCGAGAACCTTGTGGAGCTTCTCAATCACACCAGGGGTGCGCATGCACCAGTATAGGATAGCGCAGGAGGTGTTGGAGGTAGTATCGGAACCAGCAATCAACTGAGTCAGGGCCTCGGCAGTCAACTCCTCACGACCAAGCTTGTTACCATTCCCGTCCTTTCCTTCCATGAGACGAGCAAGGAGATCCACACGAGTGTTGTTGGCCATCACCTCAGGACGCAGACGCTCGTTGACTCGAGCGACAGCAATACCAGCCAAGTTCTCAATAGCTTCCATACCATCCCTGAAGAACCGGTCGGGAATGTACTTGGCAAACGGCTTCAGCGCGGGGTAACAGCCGAGGGTGGCGGAGACTTCACCACGGCGGTTGAGCACCTCAACAGCCTGGACATAGGAAGGAGGAGAATCCGGGGTCTTGCGCATCTCAGCGATATCCTGCTCCTTCTCAAGCATACCAAAGGGAGCACCGAAAGCAAGATCTCCAATAATATCGAAAGCCAGATAGTTGAACCAGTTGAGAGCATCGAGACTGGCGTAGCCGGTGCGGGGGTCGCGCCGGGTGTTGGCCATGTTCGTCCACTTCTGAACGAAAAGCTCAATGTTGCCGTGAATGTACTGCTCGAACTGGCCGATAGACTTCATACTGAAGGTGTGCGACACGGTCTTGCGCTTGCGGGTGTGCTCCGCACGGTCGCGGGTGTTGAACAGACCGCGACGAATGGAAACAAAGGCATCGTAAAAGTCCCTATACCACGTGGGTGAGCCAACTTCCATAGGATTATATTTCAGACAACGTACGCCTTCAAGAAACCATTTCCATGACCGTAAACAGCCTGGATCGCGTCGTCATCGGCGATGGAGACATGGCGGGGCGCGATGCGGACGAGTTTGCCATGGCGTTTGTGGGCATCATCGACAACGAGATACCGAGATCCGCGACGGGTTTGAAGGAGGAGCCAGAAGTTGGAGAAGGCAGCGAAGCCAGGAGAAGGGATATCACGTAGACGCCAGACTTGTAAGTAGGGGAGAAGATAATAGACGGCCACCAAGCCCAGGAAAAGGTAAGGGGTGGCCTGCAGCGAGAGCAGGTCGGCAATCATGACGACCGACCGGTCTGATTGGATATGCGACGAAAATCCGGGGTAATAGAGTGAACTGAGGGGGGAGGGGATTGACAGTTAGTCTAATTGCTAACAGGGGAAGAAAAGTGGGATTGTGAGGAGGAATGACAGCCGATCTCAACTGCCGAAGGAACGGAATGGGAATCCCTCGGCGGGAACTTCCAGCAATCATATGGTGCACAGGCTCACTTACATCGCGAAGACTCCAGGTATTGTCCCTGATCAGGAGATAAAAATTTTATAGAAGAAGCATGCAAGAATCGAAGATAAAATGAAGGACTGAAGTGTTGATCAGTGGTGTTGACAGATAATGGATAGAGGGTTGACCGAAGGGTGTGGGATTTAAAAGGGAAAAGAGGGCCAGCTTTCCCCGAGGCTATCAAATCCAGCCGGGAGATAAATCGGGATTGACAGCCCGGCCTCGACTACTGTGGCTGCCTCTCCCCAGCCGATCTCCAACCCCGACTCTACATCTCCTCCCCGCTTAACTCTCGGGTATCACGGTTATTCCTTTGTGGGGGAACACGATCAACCCCGTGAATTGTCGATCCAGGGATAGATTGAAGTCTATTTCATGCAATTGGGATGCACAAGCCAGTCAGATTTGAGATAATCGTCAGTCTCCCCAGAGAACTCTGCCAATGAGATCGAGCTCGTTGCATATTACTTCATTGGGACTTTGTGTCTTATAATTTGGAAACCTATGTACACATCCATACAGAAACTATGTGACTTCTGCTACACTGCGTCACCACCGCTCGCCTTTGACCTGGTACAACCCACTCTTTCGTTTCTCCGCCTCCCACCGCTCAACCCACGCCTTCATACGCTCACGACTCTTCTGACTGCCCACATTCACCGTCGGGATGACCCGTCCGATCCGAAGGGCGCAGCAGAACATGGTCAATTCCCGGAACGAGCTGTGCTCGCTGTACGGCACCCCAAAACAGGCACTTTCCCGCGTGCTGCCCCGTTGGGGCACGAGGTCGCGTGCCGAGAACGGGGTCTGCCAATGTGCCGAGTGAAGCACCGTCGACACAGGAGGGTTATCCAGCACACGGCCCGCGGGCGGCCGGTACGTCCAGCCGGTCGGGCGAAAGCCCACCACTTTCGTGAAGTGCGGCTTCAACGTGTCCAGATAGTCAGCCAGCGTCTCCGCTCGGATCTCAAACAAGGTCTGCATATGCACCTGGGCCTCGCGTGGGTTATCCGTCAACAGCGCTGACAGCTCTGGGTCCTCCAGGCACGCGCAGATCCGCTGTTTGGCTGGAGTGGCGAAAATCTTGCTCTTCAGAGCGCGCGCGATTCCCAGGCAGATCCGTTCTTTCCCAATGCTATAAGTCCCGATCACCACCAGCAATCGGCCACTTGAGTTCGATGTTGAAGACTGCGACCCGGAAGAGCCTGTCACCTTGGAAACGAACTTGCTCATCAACCCTCCCCCGATCCCAGGGGAGCGGCCGGACGAGCCAAAGGCAAGCCCGTTGCTTTTCTGCTGCCCCTCGTTCAGCTCCACGCAAAGATCGGCACAAGCCTGTATGACATCTTCCTGGCTTGGAAAGGCGTATTTGGGGCTCAAATACGTGGTGTCTAGGTAGCAAGCATCTATGTGTTGCTGACGACGCTGGCCCGTGGTGAGATCGACAACCTCCGGGCGCAAGAGTGCATGCTGCACATGGAGCGGCGAGGCGCGGAAATCTCCGCAATGAAGCACCCGATGCGTCCGTTTCGATGGGCCAGATCCCATGGTCTTCTCAAAGAGAAATATGGCACTTCCTGGACAATGGTTCGCTTCGATGATTGTCACATGTGCGCCCCCCGTGCCAGGGATCTCCGTCTTCTTCTCGAATTCGAGTGGCACCAACCATTTACGATTGACCTTCAACTGCTGGCACACTAGATTGGCCGTCGCGCGACTGCAGTATATAGGACCGTGTCGCCATGAACCCGTGAGGCCAATGTAGTGGTCACTATGAAAGTGACTCAGAAAGTAAGCATTGCAGCCTTCGACAGCACCATAGCGAAACGCGTCCACACATATAGAGAATCCGGGCATGATCTTGTAGAACGGACAGGTCCGTTGATATGCCTGCTTGCCTCTGGATGCCACTTCATTGGCCGCCGCTGCGGCCCAGGCGCTGTCCTCCGCGTTTCCAGCCATGAGCTTGGAAAAAGCAGACCTCGCTCCAGCCCCGCCGGAAGCGTAAGGATCACGTTGAGCGGGGCGAGCAATCGCTGCCCGGTCCGATCGAGTCAGTGCTTTCGATGGAGGTTCAGGTTCAAGTTTGATTTCGGGATCCGGATCGATCTCAGGCTCGGACTTGATCCCGGGCTCGGGCTTGCTTGTAGAATCAGATCTTGGCTGTGTTGTGCTAGGCTTGCCATCTAAGCAGTCATTGACGTGCACCGAGACATCCTGAACAGAAGATCGTTACCACACTATCCATGCAAGTCGTAATCGGAACAACTTACAGCTTCATTCAGGCCAGTCAAACTAGTTTGACAGATCGGACAAATGGGCACTTCGCAACCAAACGTATTTCCGTCGTCATCCGGGCCATTACTATAATCCTCCAATCCAAACAACACCTCCTTCTCTTCATTATTAAGTCCATCGTCATCATCATCATCATCATCATCATCATCATCATCATCATCATCATCATCATCATCATCATCATCATCATCATCATCATCATCATCATCATCATCATCATCAAAGGCATCTAAGAAATTCTCTTCCCCTCGGAACTCGTCTTCCATATCGTCAAAATTCGTGTCTTCATCAGGTTCGGTGTAACTCGTGGTTTCTCTTACCAAGGATGGTGGTGTCTCAACAGCGGGCGTCGGTCGTGTTTTGGCTGACGGATCTGCTTCCTCGGCATTGACGGGCGATTCCGTGGCAATGGCAGTGGGCTTATCTATCAATGCGGCCGATGGCCCATCCGCGTAATCACGGAACTTCTCCAGATCTTCCTCCTCCTCGCTATCAGATTCGTCGATGAAGGGACCACTGAGGTGACGGGATTTCTTCACGGGCGCCGCTACCGGCGTAGCGTCGGCATCATCGGACGGCTTCGCTCGTGCTGCTGCTGCTGCATCATCGCCCGCGGACGGGGAATCAAGTTTGCGTTTCTTGACGCCGGAGGATCCGTTCTCGTTGTAGCGGTCTTCCTCGGTCGCCGCTGTCGCTGTTGCTGGCGCCGGCGTTTCCGGCTCGCCTTCCCAGATATCGTCCGGAGTCCTCGACCGTGCTGTCCGTTGCGGCTCGGGGGGTGCGTAGGTCGCGGATCGGGTCCGGTTCTTGTCCTCGAGGAACAGATCGCCTGCGCCGTCGCTGGCTGTAGAGCTCCCTTGTCTGCGCAGCGTCGGGGTGCTGCCGTGGCCATTGCTGGTCGGCCGGGCGGTTTTGGTGGCAAATTGAGTGATCCGGGGTTGGGTGGAGGTGGCTTTGGGCGGCCCGTCGGCTTTTTGGAAGAAGTTCAGCAGACTGCCGTTGCGCTTCGCGGGGGTCTGAGATCTGGCGCTGAAGGGGACCTTGGCTGGCGTTGAGCCTTTTCTGGTGGCGGATCCTGCCATACTGCTGTCGGTCCCTCGGAGATGCGGGAGGGTCTATCGGGAGGGAGGTGTGGTAAGGTTATTGGGTCGAGGATAGGTCAATTAGCATGTTCGTATAACCGAGGTATGGGGGAGAGTATAAATTAAGGTATATATGACGATCTGTTGCATTATATAGCAAACAGGAACAGATGTAGGTTGAAGTTCAAGGACGGAAAGCGGAAGACGAAGGCGCGGCGCGGCGGGATCTCGTCCTCGACGATTTTCGCGACACGAAGTCACGTGTATCCAACCCATTAAAGGATGGCATAACTGTCTCAATGATGTCAATCGTGGTTGGACCGAAAATTGATAATTATAGCTAGATTCATGCCTGACTATGTATAGACATGCTAAGATCTAATTGTGTAGTACAAAAATTTCTTAATCTACAATTGCCTCCCTTTGGTCATGCCTTAATGTCAGTAATGCGGGGTCACGGTCACCCTCCCTGCTGTGCATAAGACAGACATTATGTAAGTACTTCTACACTAGTCCTGCATAACCAAGGTCACCGTTCCTAATCGGAGAACGACCGTCAAGTATGCTAGGATTGAGGTTGGAGGGATTCAGTCGAATATAGATGTTGACTTGCGACTTGAGCGAGAGAATCATGTCTGATGCTGGGGCATGATCTGGAACAGGTATTCTGAACTCTTTCACTAGCAAAGGATTAGGTATGCTGCGGATTGAGCAGGACGACGCCCCGAACCGCCGATTGAATCATCAAGCACTCCCCCGCCTGTCTGAGAGCCAAGAGCATTCAAATATGGTGCTGCTTCTGGGCCCGTGGCCGCTATGTGGCTTGCTCATGCTCTCCCCGCATCAATGCCTGCAAGCTCACCCCGAACATGGCTGAAGACACATTTGAGGATGAAATCCACCGAAGTTCATCTCCCAAGGCCAGCCAGCATCACCCCGTCCGCCTTCTCTCTTCCGTCAATGTATCATCGTCATCACCGTTGCCTCCCAGTCTTGGGCTATCCCGACCCGATCCCCGTCACCACCATACACACCGCAACATCAGCTATATCACCGGCCAGCATGAATGAAGCACAAAACACACTCTCTCCCCCACGAAACAATGCAGCATGACATCATGATAGAATTATAAGAAGAGAAAAGTAAAAAAAGAAGTGTAGACCGTGCCATAACATGATGCGCCCTTTGGGGAAAGGGGCCAAAGCATAAAGCCCGGAGGATATGTCCTCTCGAGGTCCGATATTCATCCAGATCCTCCTAATTCCGCTTCGAATCCTCCCACTGTCGCTCAAGTCCGTTCTCTCATCCTTCGTGCTTATTTAGCCTTCCCGGCCTGGTTCGCAGCTTCTGTATCAGCGGGGGAAAAGCATTAGCGCACTGTTGAATGAATCTCGGATCGATATGTCTGCTTCTCCGCCATTCTCCTTGCAGAATCATCGTTTCCCTTTCTCTCCAGACTCCCGCAAGAGGAATAGGGTAGGAAAGACTCACCCCTCCTCGTCGCATCCTCCAACAGTCCAATATCCACCTCCGACCGCGGCAACATCACGTAGCGCACCACACTACCCCGAATGAACATGTTCTTGACCGACGACAGGTGCGGGTACTTGTCCAGGTCGAGGACATCGACATTGTCGAGCTTGATGTTCAGGTATTGGTCGACGGATTTGAGGGTGCCGCGGATGCGGATGTCGTTTTTCAGCTCGATGGTAACGGTCTGGTTGGTGAGGGTTTTGAAGAAACTGTTCGGGTGTTTTCAGCGTTAGTAGCTTATGAACCTTTTTCATGTGGAAGAGAGAGTCATGCGGCCAGAAATAGGTGGGCAGCGGTGCGCAGGAGCCATTTTACCTGAAGAAGAGCATGATTGCGGTCGACTAGCCTGTCTGTTCTGCGTGTGGGGGAGGGGATGTTCGGCGTGAGTTATCGGGGGTCAATTCAGCATCTGAGGAGGCAATCCGGGTCGCGACCAACAGGAGACAAAGAGGGAAGGAATACGGAAGCTCTTCCGGGAGCTGTGAGACAAGGGAGGAGAAGAGAGAATTGAGGTATGGACGGATTGTATAAGTCCTGTGCGGGTAAGTTGATTGATACTGTCGGGTGTTGCTTGCGATTATCAGAGCCGACACGTGAGGCAGCTATCGCTTCGATGACTCATTTCTTAGTAAGCACATACAGGTTTTGACCACCGCCTCAGAGCGTCTTATCTCGTACAGGATCACTTAAGTATAGTGTACTTTTCGAACATACCATGCACATTCAAAGACTGAGTTTCTTGCCTAATTTAGCTGGTTATTAGAGGGTGTGTGGCTGGAAAGGAACTTTGAACATTTGTCGAGCCCAACCGCAGTCCGTAAACATATAAAATGAAGCGCTCTCGAGTTCCTCTCACAGTATGCTCAAAGCGGCTGCCTTAGAGCATTTACAAAAGACAATAGCACCATTTCACCCTTCATCGCTCGACGGCGTCATGGCCGGAAGAAACCCGGCAGGGACCTGCTCAACCAAACCATACCCAGAGATCATTCGACCGTCTCCATCAAAACCATTGACCCGAATATAACCCTCGTATGTAGGCGAAAGCCCCATGGCATCACAAAGCTCCTGGTCCGGTCGTACGCTCGAGATAAACAGCGTGGTTCCATCCCAGAGGGTAACCACCCAGTCCAGGGGGTAAGTTGCTTTCGAAACCGGCGAGGTCCAGGTTCGCCGAGACGGGGCAAACACAGTCACAGGCAGGACCTGGTGGATGCCCGGCCCGTGGCGAACCGTCGCAAACTGAGTACGTCGATGGTCGGTGGTATCCCAGACCCAGATTGACAGTTTGTCGGCTCTGCCGGCTGGGGCATTGTTGTTGTTGTTGTTGTTGTCGTCAAGGTGCAGTTCGAACCACGTCCAGTTGGCTTTGTTGGCCGCCTTCTCCAGTGTATTCGGCCACATCAACTGCCGGTCGTACCAGGTCATGGACCGTGTGGGATCAATGGTCAGTCGGGACCCGTTCACGACGAAGCTTCCAAATGTGAGGCCGGCAGGCATGGACCATTCGTGGGTCAACTCGGAGCCCCATTGGAACAGGCCGGTGCCGCCATTGAGTATCACCGGGGTAGAGAGATGGAATCGTATGTCGAATTCTACGCCTTCGACTGCACTCCACGTGCGTAGTTCTTGGAGTGGATCGTTGTCGTTTGTCGTGTGGAAGCCGTACTGCTCAAAGGTGATGTTGAGAATGCCACCACTGCTCTGACTGGGATCGTTAAGAGGGGCAGTTGCGAAACGCTCGGATTGGCGATAGAAGCTCGGGTCGGTAATATCAAGGATGGAGCCCCGGTACAAGCCAGCGCTCATCAGCAAACATTGGGAGACGATCAAGTAATCATGATTGTTAGACGCATGGACGTAGGAGGATGACCACCATGAGTTTGTTGAATTAGGGACAAAGCTGTTGGATGTTGTAAGGTTCTGGATCATAGGCAGGGGTAGATTCTGTCGACAGTCCTTAGGTCAGTTGATGACCCGTAGTGCTTCCTGCCTGAAATAGATCCAGCATACCAGGGTTTCTTCCCACAAACCGCCTGTTTCGGCCCTAAAGCCCAGAACTTCGGAAATGATTAGGGCGAGCACCGCGGACTTCATGGTCATGGGGTTCTGGAAAGGGTGCAATGCTTCGGTTGAGGTCTCGAGCAGATGGGGCTCAAAAATGCCATGGCAAGTATATATAAGATAATCAATCCACCCATGAAGAGGTTACGCAGCGGGAGCACCAGCACGAAATGATACACAACGGCGTCTTTATTCTCCATCGCCAACCGGGGTGACCCGGGCAATGGTGAAGAAGATTGGGGCTTACATGTCGTGTACACTTATCGCTCGCCTCCGTCTCAGTCACACAGCTCGTTCCAGCTGCAGGCAATACAGGGAGTAGTACGCATTGAAACGATCAAACCCGGCAGGATGCGTAGATTTGACTTATGAGTGGAACGAAGCCAGGCTTGTCGAAGGTGATTCCTGAGACCAATGGCCGGGGAAGTATGCAGGCTTCTGCGCTCCTTCTGCTCCTCTTCATCACCACAATAGCCTTTTGAACACATGAGAATTCGCCATGTGCCATGGACATCAGCACTGAGCCTGCGACCAATAATTGCAAGTATGAGATAAACATGGAACACTCTACATGCACTGGGGTTCCAACATTATTCTCATACTTCAAAACGGCGAGCATGAGGGCTACAGTGAGTCTCCCATGACATCATCACAGCCCGGATGGTCTAGTGGTATGATTCGCGCTTCGGGTTCAGCACTTGAATATGCGCGAGGTCCCGCGTTCGAATCGCGGTTCGGGCCCATTAACCTTTTTGTCAGGTCTCCACCCACTATCCCAAATGGGAAAGGTACTTACTTAGAAGACTCTTGTTCTGTTTTTGCTTGCCATCTGCTACACCTTAGCCGCGAGACAGGCGCTCAGCCCGAGCAATGGTAATGTAGAAACAGAGGTGGTGGATGAAACACCAAGGACCGCGATGCTGACGCCACCAGTTGCAACGCAAGCCCTCAATCTCGATAATCATGGCCGAAAAAGAAGGAGTGGATCAAGCGGAAACAATAGTACTGTGGATTTACACAAAAACAAAAAGATATATGGGCCCGAACCGCGATTCGAACGCGGGACCTCGCGCATATTCAAGTGCTGAACCCGAAGCGCGAATCATACCACTAGACCATCCGGGCTATTGATATCGATTACATCAGGCGGCGTGTAAAAGACCCGCGCCATGCGTCGTGCGCATCATCTATCGTGCCCATACTTTCGTGGTCATGTACCCCACCCACTCTTTCCTTTTCTTTCACATCTCACATCTTTTCTTCTATGTAGCGCAGCCCGAGCTGCTCATAATCGTCGCTCTCAATTGAACGGCACCAGTAGATATCTCACACCGGCTACAACTGCCATGAACACCCTTTACATATAATCTCCTTCAACTGTCCTGAATATGTCAGGTCAGCGCGCATCTAGCTTGAGCACGCGCAGGTCCTCAAAAGCATACAGGCAGGGGGGACAGAAACTCAAGCAGAGAACCTTGGAGTCGTAACTAAAATGCCGTAGTACCCTCGCATGTCTACCTATAAACTCGTAGCTATATACCTGATGCAGCGACTAGATAGAATCTTGGTACAGAGTATACGAGAAATATAAGCCCCCGAAGAGGAGATTTTATTGTTAAGGTGACCATCATCACTTCCTGTCAGTGTGGCTATAGGCTAATCGTCAAACATCGCTTCGGATTCAGGACAGATATAGTACCCCATCCCAAACATTCTCTTCGCATCGAACCATCAACACGTCATACATAAGAAAGCACGCCTGAAGCTCACCATTGTAATGGAGAGGGTCCAGGAGCACGATTATTACATTAAGCTTCGCCGACCAGGGCAGATAGGGGGTATCAAGAAGGACGGATGGACCTCCTGGGTCTACATCCCAAACAAAAGGAAAGAATCACATGCAAGGGCTCTTCACCCCCTTGCCCTTCGGTTGACCGCCACGACGTCTCTGACACCGTGGTTTCATCGCCCATCCGGATAAACAGGTCCAGCCTGCTCCGTTCTTGCGGCCCTCATCGAACACAGCGCCTACCCCTGCGAGTAGATTCTCCCGCTCGATTCCGATCTCTTGCTGCAGCTTGACACACCACTGTTCCCAGAACCATCCGCCTAGCAGCCCCGTGATACTGGCGATGTCAGCAGTACTACCGACAGGACCTTGTATCGCTTCGTAATCCCCAGCAAGGCTCTTGACTCTCGGATCCGGCGTCTCTCTTGGTGGTTCAGTCTTAGTGGGCTCGATCCCCATCGGTAGGAAAGCCCAGGCTCGCTTGATGTCAGCGAAGTGCTTCTGTACGTGTCCAAGCCAGCTTTTGGTCGGCATCGGATCATAGCCTTGGGCCTGAAGATTGGCAACGAACTTCTCCGAAATGGCAGATCCCTGAGGACCAGAGTGTGAGATCTCAGCATCTAGAACAAAGTACTCCAGATAGCCACCGGGCTTGAGACAGCGACGGCACTCCTGCAGGCACAGATCGTATTCGTCAAGGATTTCTCCGCTCGGGCATTTTTTCTTCAGCAAAGCTGGCAGTGAACGAGCTGAGATCACATCAAACTTGTTGTCGGGAAAAGGGAGCTTCCATGGTTGTGAAACAAAAACATGTCGGTGATTTGGAGGGCCTTTAATGCCGCGATTGACCTCCTGGGATCCAGTGTACACCGTCGTGACTTTGGCATCAGGATAATCATAGGCAAATTGCCATGCCCACTCACACGACGCATGTCCTCCCAGATCTAAGACTCGGAAACTGCATTGATTCGCCTTTGCTGATGTTTTTGGCGAACGGTTGGAGCCACGAAGCTTTCTCGATGCAGGGCTGATAAGCATGCGACCGCCATTGAGAAACCTCAGTGCATCCATAGCCCACATAGCCTGACGGATCTGTGACAGCACCAACTGCTCTTTCTCAACTATGGAGAATTGAGCTTTTTGCACCCGAGCCGAGTCGAGCGTCGAGTTGCGAGGTGCCATCGAAAAGGGCCCTTTGTATGCAGGACGTTGAGTAGGAATCAATTCGTACTTTCCCATCAAACAGTCAACGTGTAAACCAGGCATACCGACTCGAACAGACTGGACGGCATCAAAACGAGCGTGTTGATGTACATGAATATCCTTGATGCTTGATTGGCCGCGTAGAGCCTGGAACCCTCTCCAGTAGATCGAATCTTTACTTGCCAGAGCGGAAGGTTGCGAACTGGAGGCAGCTGGAAGAACTCCAGTGAATTTAGCCGATCTTTTGCGGGCAAGAGAGCTTGGAGCTTGCTGACTAGGCTTCTGAGGAGTCTCGATCTCGCTGCCACCTTCCTTGTCGATGGAATTGGCGGGGTTTGTCTCGTTCAAGGCTGCTAGGTAAGAAGCTTGAGCTGCCAGCCATACACTGGTCCTATCCAAGCCCGACATCGCTTTCTTCTTGAGTTCAGCTTCATAGTCTTCATCTCGCTCGGCTTGATCTGACAGTGGAGCGGGCATCTGATCATGATTCATCTCTTCAACAATCGTGCTCACGGGGCTCCTCAGCGTGTCAAGAGGCTCGATGGTATGCTCCGCGGGGATCCTAATAGCAGTTGGCGGACCGCTTGGGTCATATACTGCTGTTAACTCCTCGTCCGTCGCTCTTTCCGGATAATCAATGACCTGCTCAACAATCTCTCCCTCAGCGCGAGGAAAGGGTAGCTTGTAGAACCTTTCAGCAGTGGCAGAGTTGGGTGGTTTGTTTCCGTTCGGAATCGCCCAGGTATGGCGGGCACGTGGGGCTAATGAAGCAAAGAAGCCACCTGGAGACGGAATGCTCAACCTGCTGAAGCTATAACCGGAAAGCTCAGACGCAGGAGTTGCACCATCAGCACTACGAGGGCGTTGCGGTGGCGTCTCAACTTGCCACATCTCATCGTTGCTATCGGATGATTCAGACCAAGGATCTGGCATTCTATTGAGAGACAGGTGCCGTAAAGTTTCCATGGCATCTTCGGGGAGATGTACTCCTGTGTCCGATGGCGTATCTCCCCGCACCAGATCCGGCTCCATGTCCATGTCGTAAGCAGGCGGCATCACTTGACCGGGGATGCGAGGAAATCGCCCTAAGACCTGAGCTAAATCCTCGCTAGCCGCATCGAAGGCGATCTCGATGCTCTGCACATCTGGATCTGCATCTAGTGCGGGAATGCCAACGTCTTCTACATCTTCTAGGTCTGGTCGAACATGAACTCCTGGGACCGGCCAGTCCTGATCAGGTATTGACTGCAAATCTGGAGTAGCCGGAGCGCTGAGATTCGACACCTGATCCGAGGATATACTTCCATCCAAAGAGGGTGGAGCATGGACGGCAGGAACAGAACGGCCAAGCATGGACAGAGCTGCTGGAGACACTGGTATCTTGGAGGGTGGCGTCGGAGGAATTGGGGAGCTTTTGCAAGCACCTTGCAATGATGGCCACACCGGCGAAGGCGGAATGGCCAGACTCGGATAGCGCTTACGAGAAATTGGCGATAGCATGGAATTTCGCGTCGTTGGAGTTGTCAAACTTGTCGGTCGCGTGCTGGCAAAGGAAGTACACTCGTCACTCGTCACCGACTCCTCGTCTGTGGCATCGTAGAGGTCTTCAAATGGCTTCATCTGCTGCTGCCACTCCGTATCCGAGCAGGATGACACAGAACCGGCAGATATCGGCGAGAAGAATCGATTCGGCCTCGGAAAACCTGATGATAGGCCGCTAGTCTTCAACTTCAGCCGAGGGATTGTTGCAGATTTCTGAGAAGTGGATGCGACCTGCTCCTTCTGTACCGTGTATTGTGTTTCGCGATAGTCCTCAGGTATAGTATCGAGTCGAGTCCCTCGGACCTGCCGTAGGGGTGGACAACCTGAGGCGGTAGAGTACTGCATGTCGGCCATAATGCTCAAGCAGTGAGATATGCTCCCAAGGTTCTAACGGTTCAATTACAGTAGGTGGTGCGAAGACAAGATCAAGGCTAATATCAAACCATCAACTCCACAAGAGCCTTCTATGGGTATCTCAGCTGCGTTCAACACCGATCAACAGGTCGACGAGTACGTGATTAATGACAGGAGCGCTTGACGGCCCAGCTTCCAGAGCTAAAGGCACGACCAAACGATGCAAAAAGAAAGGAAAAAACGAAGCTATAGCCAAAGAGACAAGAAAAGGTTAGGTGAAGATCATCATCTTCGATCGGTAGCGCAGGACACTGATAAATAGACCACCGAAAGGAGGGGAAGGCGAGAGATCGGACGCGGTGGCCTTCACACCTGCCACCCAAGATGCAGGAACTACTGCATCACTGTGCACAAAGCACCCGGAATCCCTGCAGGTAGGCAGCCTGAAGATACTATCATTGGTGCTGGTCGAGTCGGCGCTTCGGCAAGGACGAATCGCAGTGGGCGACCATCTGTGATGGGCGACAACAGAATGGTCTGGGAGCTTCATTGCGCCAATTGGTGGTGAAAGGTCCTTGGTGGCTGTACAAAATGATTGTCGGCGAACAGGAGTGCTGGAGTGGTGAGGGGAGTTTCGCATGATTGGCGGGTTGTAAGCGCCCGGGGAGGCTATCTTTAGAAAGGAAGCTCCGGACTGTGATGGGATGGTGATGGTCGGAGTTGGCTTGAAGAGATCAGTGTCTTCAGCAGACCCGCATTTAATGAACTCGTGATGACATCCAAGAGTCGAAGAATATGAAGGAAACTTTGAATCCGCCGAGCGTCAACTCAAAAGGGAGGACAATACTCCGTACCTTACGAACTTGACGCCCTTTTGAGGAGCCCTGTCGTCCGGCCTATCAGGCATCACAACGCACATTGAAAAGCACGAGATCCCCACTCAGGCGAGAAGAACAAGAACAGTCCTGGCTCAGACGATTGAGCAGGAAGCGCTGGTGAGTCACCCGACCGACATTGTTGAAGGGAAGATGCAGATGACGAAGTGGCAGTTGGTCGAGATTGAAGAAGTATGGAGTAACTCGGTAATCGGGCCCCGTCCGTCCATCACCTTTCCTATTTTGGAGCGTGACAGGCAGTCAGGCAGTCAGGCAGTCAGGCCTCGGCCAGGCTGCAAACATTAGCCTACCACGTGCAGTACCCGGCCCTAGCCCTTATCGAGTGGTATCATTCCCAATCGGGCTCCCCGGACTGACGTCGACCGGAGGAAGATGATATCAACGACCACCGACAATTTTTGCCCGGATGGAGCTGGTTGATTCCCCAATGGACTCGAGTAATGGCCAGTTTATCCACACGGTCGTTTTCCCTTCTCTGCCGGAGGCTATCAGAAAGTTCCAGCATTGATCCAATCGATTGCTAGTAATCTGTCATAATTCCGCTTTATCTCTTGTAGAAGTCCCAGAAAAATAAGTATAACTTAAACCTGACCCCTCTTTTCCCCCCATACCTCCCCTCATCCTATTCCCCCTCCTTGTATACCGTACGATTCTTAAACCTCTTTCTTACCCACCTCCCACTCTCTCTCCCACCACCCCTCATTCAATTGAACAATCCCAACCAGCAACCACCATGTGTCCCCCCGCGATCATCGCCCCCTCCATCCTGAGCGCCGACTTCGGCACCCTGGGCAGCGAATGCTCAACCAAGATCGCCCAGGGCGCCGACTGGCTGCACGTCGACATCATGGACGGCCACTTCGTCCCCAACATCACCTTCGGCGCCCCCGTCGTCTCCGCGATCCGATCCCATGTCGCCCGTCCCACGGAAGCGCACGGCAAGGGAACCTTTGACTGCCACATGATGATTGCGGAGGTGAGTTTTGTTTGAATCAACCAACGTTCAAAACACGTTGCCAAAGGAGCAAAACAATCAACCTCCCTTCTCCTAACCCCCTCGAACGCAAATCAAATCATCCCATCACTAATTGAAGTAAAAAATACAGCCCCACAAATGGGTCAAAGAGTTCCAAAAGGCCGGCTGCGACCTCTACTGCTTCCACTACGAAGCGGCCGTCTCCTCCGTCGCGGCCACCGAGCCCGCCGACAGCACCACCACCCGCCACACCTCCCCCAAAGAGCTGATCCGCTACATCCACGAGCAAGGCATGCAGGCCGGCATCGCCATCAAGCCCGATACCCCCGTGGACGTGCTCTGGGAGATTTTGGAAGCCGAGGATGCGAAGGAGAAGCCGGATGTGCGTTTTTGGCCTGGCCCTTAGCCTACCCTACCCTATCCTTACACTCTGTTCACCCTTTCGCAACGCAGCCCTTGACTATCCCTCCACCATAAAAACCATAATCATCCCTCAGAACCCCTAACCCTCATTTCCCCCCTCCAACAACAACAACAACAACAACAACAACAACACCACCACCACCTCCCACCCCAAAAAACTGCCCACCCAAAAACTAACCCCTCGGGCAAAACAGATGGTTCTCGTAATGACAGTGCACCCCGGGTTCGGCGGCCAGAAGTTCATGGCCTCGGAGCTCCCCAAGGTCAAGGCCCTCCGGGAACGCTACCCGGACCTCAACATCGAGGTCGACGGCGGGTTGGGCGTGGGCACGATCGACCAGGCGGCCGAGGCGGGCGCCAATGTCATCGTCGCCGGGTCGGCGGTCTTCGGCGCCCAGGATCCCGCCGACGTCATCGAGAAGCTGCGCCAGGCGGTGAACAAGTATCGGAAAGAAGAGTAAATATTACCTACCTTGCCCTCCCTCCCTCCCGCGTGTCGAAATAGAAGTCTTTTGATTCTGCCTCTCTGTGCGTGTGACTATACCATTAGCATCATGTTTCTTCTCTTGTTTATATGGGGTTTGTGTGTCTGATTGTTTAATTTTCTTCTTCTGGGCTCTTATTAGTTCGGTTGCTGGAGCCCGTCGCAGTATGCTTTGACCCGGAGATATGGAAGTAAAGAGATATGATAGTAAACAGTCGAGAGTTCTAGAGCTACGATTTAATGAAAGTCCGGAGACATGCTACCGATGATCATCTGCAATTTCTGTCGATAATAACGACAACACAATGTCAAACATACAATGTCCGAATGAGAAAGGGAAATAAGAAAATAATGTCTGGTATCTGTACATGGTATGTAAAAGTTTCAAGCGATCATGCGTAAGGTGACACATGCACAAAGGCGGGAGCTAAAATGCTATCGTCCTGCGACAGAAACCCACAAAATAAACAATCGCCTGGTCTAGTGGCTATCCTTGGTGGCTTCCGCCGTCGCCGACGCCGCCTCTTTCTGCTCGCCAACCTCGGGCTCTTCCTCGATGGTCTCCTCTTGGTTGGCGCCAGCCGCAACATCCTCACGGAGAGAGTTCAGCAGTTCCTGGTGACCACCGGAGATGGACTTGCGCAGATCATGAGCGACCTTGGCCTGCTCCTCGGGAGAGGTGGCCGAGACAATCGACCCCCGATGGTGCTCGACCACAGCGGCATCTGCGCGAATGTTGGCAGACGACTCTGCAGCCAACTCGGGAACGATCAACGGCGGTCGCTTGGGCCGAGTCTCCTCAGTGGCGGGTATCTCGATAGCCTCTGTTCCAGTTGCAGTGTCTTCCTTCCCAGCAGGAGTGTCCACGCTCGTCGTCGCAGTAGGCTCGGTCGGATTCTGCTCTGCAGTAGCTGCTGGCACGGTGCTGTTGTTGGCCTTCGTGGTATTTTTCGCGTCGCCGTTCGTGGGGTGACCCTTGGCCTTGGCAGCAGCTTCCTCACTGGCCAGGCGCATGGCAGCAGTGGCAGACTCATCCTTCGGAGTCTCCTTTGCAGGGGGGCTCTGAATCTTGATGGTACTTTGCTTCACGGCGGGTGTTTCAGTGGTGGGCGTAGAGACGGTGGGCGTGGTGGATTCGGATTGCGCGACCGTGCCAGAGGCGAAGATGCTATCCATGGGTTGGACATTGTTGATTTGCATTCTGAGCTCGCCATATTCGTTCCAATCTTCGACCTCTTCGAGATCCTAAAGTACGAAGCTGATTAGTCTTCAGCCGGTTGTGTGTAGCAGATGGAAGGGAGAGGGGGCAAGGGCAAAGAGGGGGAGGCGCGTCATGCCCGCCACCCCCGGCGGTGGCCAGAAGCTATGCGGGGTACATACCCCAACAACGCTGCCAAATTTCACTAGGCCCGGCAGCTTCTTGCCCTTGGCGCGACGACCCCAAAGCTTGCGGGCTACATCGTTGGTTGCGACATCGATGGCCAGGAAAGGTAGCTTGTTGGCTTTGAGAATCCGCTCCAGGGTTGCCGTTGCGGTGACGATGTGCGATGACCCCGCAGTCAGGGAGGTGAATAGGTATAGATTGTTGTCTGAGTCTTCAAACATGATGGAGAGGAAAGCGAAAGTCGGGAAGGTCTCTTTTTAGGTAGGTTATGCGTGTGGACAGAAGAGAGCTGTGCTGAGAGTATGGCGGTGGTGGGTGATGATGAAGATGGAAGGGAAAGTTGCGCAGGAGAAGAGGAAGATGATGATGATCGTTGCTGTCAATGAAGTGGAGGGTCCAGCTTGCCCGGTTTCCGCTTCTGGGACTGGGCTGTCTCCGCTTTCCCTTTTCTTCAAGGTTCTCTTTTTCCCCTTTTACTCACTCCAACAAATGCAAACGCATACGCAAACGCTTTCTCACTTCCGACCGAATTATTTTCCGTCTTTCACCGCCGCGGGACCGTACAATCCAAACTTCGAACCGAACCAAACTTGAAGGTTATTCCAAGTTGCTATGACGTGGCTCAAAACTTGGCCCCTTTAACAAGATCACGTGACGCGCTGGACCATTCACCCTTTTTGAAGGAGGCCCCCTTTTTTTCTTTTCAGGTATAGGTATTTCGATAGATCAAATGGATCAAAGAATTAATTTGAAACCGAAAAGGACAGATTAGACTATTTGTTGCGTGAACACCAACTAGTCGATCGATCGATCATATCAGTTCATCTGTTTTTGATGGAGAACAGCGCCAGGAAGAATTAGGAAGTCGGGGGCAGGAAGAAGAAGGCATGGGATGCCCAGTCGACTATATATCGCAATATCGCATTTGCATTCTGATTTAACCCACCTCCTCGACTCAGGGCAAGCTTGGCCGATTGTGGGGGATCTGTCACCGTGTAGTGGCAAGTTGACGTCAGTCCTATGGTCTTCCGGACCGCCATCGGAACAAGAGCCATCAATCAACCACTTGCAGTAGGTTGTTTGGATGGTCGGTGCCTTCGTTTTCGCGTCGCAGTGCCGAGAACTCTCGCTCTAATTTATTTTATATACTTTCTGTAATCGTCATCTGGCTTCATTGCCAACCTACAAGGCTGCTTGTCTCATAATCTATATATCGAGTGCGAGCAAGTGCTGCCTCTCGTGCCAAACGATGTCCCATCACTCCAGAGACTTCGCCCTTGATGTCATTCAGACCCATCACTGACTCCTCGGGTCCCTGATTGTCCGCTTTTTGGTTACCCATGACTTCATATCCAATGACTGATCATCGGTAGCTTCCAGCATGTGCATCTCACCATGCAAAGACTCCAGAGCAAATTATTGATTGTAAATGCACCACCCAGTTTTGGGTAAAATCCAACATCCGTAGACTTGCCTCAACTGTTCAAAAACCTGGCGTCAGATGCGTTTCTGTTCAGTCTGACCCTGACTCTGTGGAAGGCTGCTGATTGCCGGGTATCCCTGTCCCTGGAGATGACAAGATGGCATTTGAATCCTAAAGGGTTGATGTTGCATCTGGGAAGTTAGCAGAAATTGCAAGTTCTGTGCCACCTTGATTGTGAATGATGGCGCTGTGCGAAGTGTCACGTCCTACAACGTCCCACAGGATGGCTAGCGGCCGCGACGCTATCTGTACATGACTCGTTCCGCAGTTTCACAATTCACTGAGTAGTCCAGATATAAATCGACGCCGGGATTGACCTTGCGAGGAACAAGATGAGGATGTCCCGCGATCTGCTGACGTGCCTGCTCAGTAGCTGACTTGAGGTATATATAGAAAGTCACTAACCGTGGCCGTCGATTGCAGTGCAACCTGAAACGGGCTGATATGTCTCTTCAGAACTTGGCACCGATCACATGCTTCAAGCCTTCGACATGGTCCTTGAACGTTGATGTATTCATGCGACTGCAGAATGGTGTTGTCGGTAGACTTGCCATTTGAAGCTCGGCTAAAAGCTTCTCGCACCGTTGATCCATAGAATGTCAAGACAAAAGACTCGTCCAATGGGATCATGATGACTTGCCGTGTTGCAGACTGTCAATCGAGAAATTCTTTTTGCAGTGCAGAGGACACCTGAGCTCAAGCCGTATTGATAGGATGTTGTTGATGCGCTCGCAAGTCGCCCACAGCATACCACTGTCTATTAAGATCGTCTGTCCACTCAAAGCTGGGGGCACAAAGTACCGAAACCGCCTCAGAATAGCTCAACGAAAGCGGCAACCACAAGTGCTGTACTGTCCATTGGCTTCCTATCGATTGCCCCAGACAAAAATGCTGCCTATGTGGCCATCGCAGCGACAAATAGTGTAGCGGGGCCGACGGTTGGGGAAGCGGCGTTTCACATATGCTCAGACATAAACATAGCCACACCGAGACCGAAGCGACAGAATCCCGCCGCCCACTGCTCATCGAGGCGCAAGGCTTAGCAGGACTCACAAACCAGAGGCTATCTCCAGCTCACTCCGTCTGATCAGCCGCGTCATCGGCGCATTCAGTGATGTGAATCGATGGAGCAGGGAGCAGAGCCTCTGGGCGCCGTGACGGTCAGCGGTCATAGCACCCATTCAGACCGAGCTAGTGGGATGGATATTGGGGATAGGTGGCTGACTCAAGCGCCATCCTAGAATGGAGGTCTTGAAGGGACGCCCGAGCAGGCTCGGTGGTGGTGGTGGTAGTGATGTCGGGTACAAGGAGATCTTTTGGGAAAAGACATCACATCACACATCACACCTCACACCTCACACCACAAAGTTGATTACTCTTGTCTATCTGGCTTGGTAATCGGCACGGAGTGTGCGACAAGGCAGTCGGTCAGCCAGTCGTGGACATCATCATCAGTTCAGGCATCCGCGGCCCTAGCCAGGTGGTAGCTGAAGTATTTGGGTACTGTACAGTACTTATTCCATTCCAGCAGCCTTCCACTTCGGGTTGTCTGACAAACCGTGCTTGAGATCTGAGCTGGTGGTCCCGGCAATACAGGGATCGTTGTAAGGCATCACAGTCACGATTTTCGCTTGGGCACGCGGGAGATTGGGTGGAGGGGGGAGGGGGGAGGGGGGAGACAGAGGACTGAATGAGATGTTGTCATGGGAAAGAGAAGTTTGGCAACCATAAGCCTGGAAGGTAACTAAGTAAGTTACCTCCAGACTCAGCTACTGAGTAGGTATCACCTAGATCTTCTTGATCAGACGGACCCCGCCAAAATCCATTTACAATGAGTAAGTCAATCAAACAAGTCTCTCCTTCCCGCTTTTCCTCCGTTCTAGGATCTCCCATGTCTAGATTTAACCTGACCTCATCCTGCCAGGTGGAATTGTGGCCCTTCCATCATGAAACCAAGATACACCGAAAACTTTCTTGCGTGCTACCAGAGTTGCATATTCTACTCAGTGATGGACAGTAGAGTATACTGGAGGATGTGCATCCTGCATAGAAGAACGATACTCGTAGTGAAGACCTACAATAGTTGATCCAAGTAAGGTCAATCAATCAATGCCAGCCTATCATCCACCCCCCACCCCCCCCTCTCCTTGTTCTTCTTCCCCCTTTCAGGGCAAAAATCGCCGATCGCACCGAAAACCGTCTGGCGGCCCCCGCCTGGCGGCGCCGATCGTCTTTGGTGCTTGTCGAATGGGAGTGCTTTCTTTCTTGCAGAGAACCGATGAGATAGCGTCATGTTACTTGTCTCTACTCCGTACAGTACTATTTTTGTCAGGTCCATTGTTGTTCCTATTATGAGTATCTCGAGTATGGAGTGAGTGAATTCACTGTTCCCGCCCCCGGAGATTAGCATCCATCAACAACTGCTGTTTTCTTCGAATTGTGTGTACTGCTGCAA